ACAAAGCTTCCATTCGGAGGCAATAAATTTGGTCCATTACAAAGCTTCCATTCGGAAGCAAAAACTTAGATTTGGTTGATTACAAAGCTTCCATTTGGAAGCAATAAATTTGGTCGATTACAAAGCTTCCATTCGGAGGCAATAAATTTGGTCCATTACAAAGCTTTCTTTGCGAGGCAATAAATTTGGTCCATTACAAAGCTTCCATTTGGAAGCAATAAATTTGGTCGATTACAAAGCTTCCACTCGGAGGCGATAAATTTGCTCCATTACCAAGCTTTCTTTGCGAGGCAATAAATTTGGTCCATTACAAAGCTTCCATTTGGAGGCAATAAATTTGGTCGATTACAAAGTTTCCATTTGGAAGCAATAAATTTGGTCCATTACAAAGCTTCCATCCGGAAGCAAAAACTTAAATTTGATCGATTACAAAGCTTCCACTCGGAATCAAACACTTGGTCGATTACAAAAATTCCATTCGGAAGCAAAAAATGGATGAATGAAATCAATTTTCGATGGCGGCGGTAGATAACTCTCAATGAGACCTACATTTGAAATAAAAAGATTCAATTAAGTAGAGATAAGGGTGAGCAATTAAAGAAAAGCAATCGAAATGCATGCATATATTCATTCGGATACGGCCTAAAAACCTGCACTTTCGAACTCCTTGGGTTATATCGAGTTGATAAAAGAGAAAAAAATATGAGAGTTGAAGTTGGCCGATTACAAGCGATATTCCACAAAGATAATGAACAATTGTAATTTCAACCAACCTTGTAAGCATGAACACTGTTGGTCATGAGAAGAAAAGCACTGGCAACCATGCTAGGTACATCGCCCCAGATGATCACCAGATTGATGAATTGAACTCCGAGATAAATCCCGAGCATGAAGATAAAAATTAGAGCTGAATACACAAAATACAGGAATCGGTGTCTGCTCTGGGGAGGCCATGTGCCAAAATACTTAATCATAATTAAAGATATTCGAATATGAAAATTCGGTGGCACTCGTCGCAACGAGTTGTTCTCCATGAGGTGATGGTCTAGGTTGTCCATCCTGGACTGGAGGCAGACCTCAAGGGGATGTCTTCCAGGGAAAATTGATGGCATATTATTTGAGTAATTGGAGGGTTTTAGCGTGATTACACAGCTGTTTGCCTGAGGGAAACTCAAACTATTAATTATCTTGTCTCATTTATATTTCAGGAATTGTCTTTTGCATATTTCACCCTGTCATTAATTTCCTTTGACGTTTTGGTTCGATACTTCGAGAAACATTTGCGTTTCCTGGACGGCACATTCTGGCTGAGAAGTATTCATTATTTTAACGACTTTATTTAAATTTAGAATGCCAATCGTCAATAAAATCAAGTCAACAGAGAGTAATTGACGATTTTTTCAAATCGTTTATAAATCCTGCTTTTAAGTTCGAAAATAAAAAGAAAATCATTCCATTTCATTCTGCGTTTCAGTGGAATGACAATCCAGAGTTGAATTATATCTAATGAAGATAAACAGTGAGTAATGATAATGAATTAAAAAAAAAGTGTTTTTCCCAGGGGATCAGACTGAATTTCATCTGGATAAAGACTGCATTTGTACACTGAGAAAAAAAATTATTTTTGCCAAGAATATTTTCTTCCTACTAGTAAATCTGGGGATCACTGTGTCAATACTCCCATAAGACTTACTAATGCCAAATATATTTTCTTGTGGTTAGTAAATATTCTTGGCTAAAGAAAATTTTTTTCTCAGTGTAAATAGTTTTAATAAATTTGTCGACGATCTGAGAAAAACATTCAATGAATTATTATACAACAATTATAAGAAATTGTCGAGGGCAGTTATAATGAAACCGCGAACAAAGTCTTGCAATTATCTTTCTCAGTAATAGTTCTATATGATCTGTAGAGCTTGTGAGTGAATCCGAAGATCACCAATGACAGAACCGTTATCTGTTACCATTATCAGCGAATAACGATTCTCCTGTGTATAAAAATGAGTTGCTGCAATAAAATTCATTCAGTCTCGTTCTTATCGCCGACGCAGCCATGATACTTAAATCGCGAAAACATTTCACATTATTTTATCACCCCAAGTTATTCAATACTCAACCAGTCAATTGTAATCGCAATTTATATTCGAAAAGTTTCTGTGGATCAACGAAATTCAAATCGTTACACACGACGAATTTCACTAATTCCAAATCCTATCGATCAACCATCGGTGAAAATAATATCTTCAGGAGTCGACATGAAGATCTGGAATTGCCTACTTGTTCTGTTCATGAATACGTGTTGAGAGAATCGCACAAATGGTGGAATAAAGTTGCTCTAGTAAATTCTGCTTTCTTTTAACTTCTTTATCTCGCGACTAATATTTCAGAAAATATATGACAATTTTTTACTTCAAAATTGCAATTAAATTATTAACTAATCAAATTGTTTTTGATTAATTGCACTCAATTATTCTCTAAACTTAAACCTTTTTTTTTCTTACACTTCATCCGGATGCAAGTTATAAAATGTAGAAAAAATAATCGATTTTTTGCATTATCGAATTATCGACCCGAGATATTTTTGCGATAGGCATGTCCCGACACCGGAAGGACATACACTTACGAAGAACTTCGAAAGACATGTGGAAAATTCGCGACATCACTTCGAAGACAATTGCCTCCTGGTGCCACCCTAGCAGTCATCCTGCCAAATGCCATCGAATACCCAATTATCACTCTAGGTGCAAGTGAAGCAGGTGTTCGGGTAATTAATTAAGGAATCAATGAAATTCCTTCCACCTCAATATTTAATTTATTTATTGACGGCCTTTCGGTAATAAAATTTCATGTTATATTACTTAACGATCTCTTGATTTTCCAGATGACGCTGATGAATCCTGAGTTCACAGCTCTCGAGATGAATAGACAACTCGAGAATTCAGATGCCACAGCTGTAATTACAGATAAATCTCATTACCCTCGGGTTATGGAGAGCATAAAAATGGGGAATACATTGGTTCGATCACCAGTTATTGTGATTTCAAACACGGATGTGCCTCCTGGTGCCATCGACTTTAAGGATCTTGTGTCTGATAAAGTCGAGGAGTTCGAAAAAACTCTGGACAAGACTAAGATTGATCCACTCAATGATACCATGGTCCTTCCTTATTCCAGTGGAACAACTGGACTGCCTAAAGGCGTCGAACTCACCCACAGGTTCCAATTTTATTTTATTCACCCCTTCACCAGTAAGATCCCGTCTTCTGTCGATTTTATCATAAATTTCAGCAGCTTCGTGGAATTCTAATTTAATAATTAAGGATGAGGAGGTTAAAATGGACCTCCTAAGCAGAAATTCGTTCCTTAACAATTTTTACTACTCAAACCACTAGCCCTTACTCTACCTCAATTGCGAAACGCGTCGACAAAACAAATATTTTGGGGGTAAGGTGGGTAAAATGCACTTCCCTCCCTGTCATGATTTTTTTTTCCAATGGTACTGAATTGACTCGTCGAGTTTCGACAAACAAATAGTTGGCCGAGCCTATTTGACAGATAGTTTTTTCTTTCTAATTTTTAATTTCTACCAATATTATAATTTATTATAATTATTAATTTATTATTATATTATAATTGATAGTAACCTTCAGAACGGATTCATAGCTATTCTGATAACGATATCTTCGAAACCATTCGCTCGCGAGTTCAGAAAAATATATTGAACCTATTAGTAACATGAAATTCAATAAAAAAATTAATTTTGTAACTTCCCCTCGGCGGATTGATCCCATCTGAGGCCTGATGCTTTCATATCATAAAAACTGTAATCATACCAAATTGTAACTTGTTATTCTAATTTTTCATCAAATTATTGAGTATAGAATACTGAAAATAGTTTTAAAAAAACGGAAAATGGCAGTATCCCGCGATTTTTCCACGAACGGTTATACATATTTTCATTACTTTGATGGTGCCCACAGAGACGATTCATTTGAAGGGAAAGAAATTGAAATCCGTTGAGTGGATCAGAAGATATTCAACGAAATATATTCACGCAAAAGGTGTAATATCTCTGGAACCGCTTGGCCGATTACGTCCATTCCTAACACCCACCTGTAATATTATAAGAATTATAAGTGTACAAAGTTTCAACTCGCCATCTCTATTTTTTATCGATTTATCGTGTTCACAACGTTTATGATAGTAAAAGCTAAAAACGGCGATATCGCGAAATTTTATCAGAACAAATGTAGATATTCCGAATGATATAGATACCGAATGATATAGAACCCATTGAGACGAGTGTTTTGAAAAAAAATTGAAATCCTTACGCTATTTTTAGAGATATTCAGCAAAAACGAAATTAGCGAAAATTTGTATATCTCAGGAACTACTCAATGGATCGAGCTGAAAAGACGCACCAAAATAAAAGTTAATGATAGTTATCACAACTTAAATATTCATATTTTTAGCTGTAAATTTTACCGTATTTATGTAGTATTTTTTCAAAATTAATCTTCAAAATTTCGAATTCTCCCGCACTGACACAGAGGCATGATGTAGAACCATCGATTATTCGCGTTTTAGAGCATTCTAGATAACTTGCAATTGAAATCAGACAATCGAACAATCGGTCAAATACCAGTCTTCGGAACTACCATCCGGAAGCAAAAACAATTAATTTCTACTTCATGCAAATAGTATTTAACGCTAATCATCTTTACCATTGTTTAATTATTAATCAATTGAATTTCGTGTACAGAATTGAACTTCTGGGTTGATGAATCCAATATAACATTTAAACACGCATCAACGCATCAATTACTCCGCCCCTACATCTCTATCATAAAGAGGAAAAAACTATGAATATCTAAAAAAAGGGAGGGCCCATTTTACCCTTCCCTCCTTTCCAATAACTCAAAAGAGTGGAAATCTGTCTTCTAATAATCTCTATTAAATCATCTCTTCGGTATTTTTTATTGAAGAAAATAAAAAAGGCCTAGAGGTTGAGATTTTTTGAATGGAGATCAAATATTGAAGTGATGCAAATTCTTTTCAGAAATATCACAGCTAATTTGTGCCAGGTTTCTTGTGAAGCGTGCAACTCCCTAATTAAGGCCGTAGATGAATACCAGGAGGTCATACCCGTGTTTTTGCCTGCGTATCATATTTATGGCCTTACTATTTGTCTTTTTGCATCTCTCAGGTAACAAGTGCAATAACTATTTAATTACAATATTCAATTACTATCAATTTGCAATTCAATCGTTATCAATTCGTCACAGTACTTAATTAGTAATTAATTAGAAACAACGTACAGAAAAAATTGATAGTTTTTTTTTCTGTATGAACTGAAATGCACGTTTTTTTTTTAATGTCATAAAATTGCAGTCAGGGCGCAAAACTCATCATCATGCCGCAGTTTACATCAGACAAACTTCTGCAGGTTTTGGAGAAATACAAGACAACAATTTTATTTGCTGTTCCTCCAGTGATTCAATTGCTGATCCATGACAATAGATTTCAATCGAAGCATTTTGCCACTATGAGAATAATTTTCTCTGGAGCAGCTCCTATAACTCTCGAGAAAATAGCGCAATTCAAAGCGAAAATTACAAGCGATTCTGAATTTAGCCAGGGCTACGGATTGACGGAGACGTCTCCAACTTTGACGTCGGGATACGGAGCGGTGATGGAATCCGTTGGTTTTCTCCTTCCAAATACCGAACTAAGAATTTTTGGTGACGAGAGAAATCTAGGGGTTGGAGAAATAGGGGAGGTTTTCGTAAGGGGACCACAGATTATGAAGGGATACTATAAAAATGTCAAGGCTACCCAGGATTGCATGGATGGTGAGTGGTTTAAAACCGGTGACCTGGGGTACATCGATGAAATAGGTACGACTTTTTTCTCTATATTACCTCCCTTTGTTTTCAATTAGCAAGAGTAAAATTAAATTTATAATTGAAATTCATTTCGATTTTTTCAAGTTTTGAGTTTTTCTAGATGTGTGAGGAAAACTCAAGGAAATAAATATCAGTATTTGATTCTGTTAATTAACTAATTAGGACAATTATTCATCACTGGACGTATGAAGGACCTCATAAAGGTCAAAGGATCACCAGTGTCGCCGACTGAACTTGAAAATCTCCTCCATGGGCACGAGCAAATAGCGGATGCTGCTGTAATCGGTGTTCCCCACGAGAGATTTGGCGAAGTGCCGAAGGCATTTGTTGTACTTAAACGGGGAGCAAAAGTCACCGAGGAAGAGATCAAAGACTTCATTGCTCAACGTGTTGTCAAATACAAACAACTCGGTGATGTTGTGTTCACTGATAAAATAAACAAGAGTCCTGCGGGCAAAGTTCTCAGACAAGAGCTCCAGAACGAGTAAAGAGAGCCCATTAAATTCAATTCTGGCTTTCAATATTTTTTTTTCACGTCAAATGAATTTTACCGAGAAATCAATTAAATTGCTGTCAAAAAAACGAGAAATATTGTTAGTCAATATTTATTATAAATCCTCTAAAATATTATTTAAAATTATTGAAATCATTCGCATTTGAAATTTTATTCACTGTTTGGTGACAATTCCAACGAAATTCACTCCAAATAACGTAATAAATTTATGATTTCAATAATTTAAATAATTATATATAACTCATTTGTCATTTTTAGTATTAGTAATAATTGGTGTCGTCTGTTAAAAATATATATATTACTAAACGAAAAAATTGTCATATCGATGAAAAAATCGCGAATAGATTGAATGATAGGATTTCTCTCGTTATTCATGACGATCAAGTAGAATCTTCTTGATCAGACTGACAATTTTCAATCTCCTTAGTCAATCGTTTTTTTATCCTCGCGCATTTGGGACAGCAGTGATTCCGTTTGGACCAGCAGACCCGATGATGGACGGCATTGCACTGGTGACAACACACAGCAGATGCATCCCAAGGAAATATCACCTCATCGTTCCCACATATTTCACAGAGGTGTCCCCTGGCGTAGCACAACTCACAGGATTCCGTTATGTGATTCCTCATGGCATCGTACGCCACACGTATCTCCTCCATGAGAACTCCATTCTGGAGATCAATTAAATCCTTCATAGAATAATTACCAGAGTTCTCGATCATGTGATTCCGAAGACCTGCACGCCAAGGGAGGCCCTGAAAATCGGCGTCTGGACAGAAGACCAAGTATTTTTTCATCATTTGGAGTTCTTCTCGCAGTCTCTAAACAAGAATTTTAATAATTCAGTTAGAAATTTAACGTGCAAAGAAATGGGGAGGAGATTGTGATCACAATTGATTAAAATTCATTGATTTAACTTAATAAATGTATGAATTACCTTCAGCAGAGACAAGTCAGGTACTAGGGTAAATAATTTGGGATTTAATTCTTCCAGTGGCAAAACTGGTCGTTCGTTCAATAATCCAAGCAATTGTGAAGCAGAACGACTGACTTTTCTCGGATCAAGATCCCAATTCCTAATTACTCTAGCGGGAATGACAGCTGGAGTGTTCCAATGGCATCTTTGACAGAAGTAAAGTCCAGTGTAATCACAGAGTCTCGGCTCAACCCAGGCAGATTCTGAATGACGGCAAAAATAAAACAGATGAAACCCCTCCTGGATTTCCATAAATTCATTCAATAGAAAGGAAGAATGTTCTAAATCTTTGGTGATTTGTATACCTGTTTGCCTGAAAGGACTGCCAAAGCATGGCAATGACAGACCTTTTGTGATAGCTTGCAACGAGACAATTAATTAATTAGATAAATAATTGTTTTTATTTCAGTGGGAAGTGAGTTGTCAAAAATTCAGATATTAAAGAGATATTTCCTAGGAAATCGTGAACTCACTGAAAGTGATTTTAGTGTGACACTCAGCACATCTGTACAACTGGGCTGAGAGTCCCTTTTCAGGGCAGATTTCCTTGGTGAAGATGTACCCTCCAGCTTCGCTTGCCACAACATTAGCGCAGACTCGACGGATATCCGTGATGCATTTCCAGTGGCAGCAATATCCACAATCTGAATTCATTAAATTCATTGTCACAAATTAATCCCGACAAATTCTCCCTGTTATCGACAAAATTATGTCTCGTCCTGTAATTCTGTTCGTGATGATAAAAACTAAACAATAAGTCAATAAAATTAATTCATAATTACCATTACACATGTACCAGGACTGGAGCATCAGCCAAATGGCTGCACTGCAATGATCGCAGTAAACAGGACCTGAACTCGAGATCTGATACTTCTGGGGCACCAGGTGATGCCCCAATATCACCTGAGTCTCTAAGGAACTAACGTCGGAGGTCTCTCGCAATTCCTGTGCTCTCAATCTCAATTCGATTAGTCTTCGCACCAGCCATTTCCTCTCTTCTGTACATTGATCACTCTCCAGGACCATCTGTTTACATTTCTCCACCATCTCGGTTAAATCGTCCAAAGTAGCTGTCTATAACACGTCAAACAAAATTATAACTTTTAGACAAAAAAAATCATTGTAAAAACCCTCCAATTTATTTGTTTATTCAATAAATTATTACGTTTCGTTTAGTCAATTTCTGTGTAAGTTGGATAAAACAATTAAGAGAGGATAATATGGAATAAAATTATAGAAGATGGTTTGTCATACCTTGGATAAAGACAGAAGAGCTTCCACAGATTTTAAACTGTAAGGAACAGCTACTCGACTTCCTGAACTGTCATCAGCATCTCCAGGTGCGTAATCGAATGAAGATGATGGTGTCGACGCTGTTCCAGAGCTGTTCGACCTTGTCCTCTTCTCGTGGTTCAATTCTGAAGAGGACACACTCGTGTTGGCTGTCAATCCCGCCATATTTTCACGTTGTAAAATCCAGTGCTTCTGAATTTGTTGTCTAATAAATAAAATAAGACAAGCGACTTATCTCCACCGTGATATTAATTACACGTAACTACATATCACTAATTGCATTTATCATTGCACTTGCGATGGGAATGAATTGTTGATCTGATCCTCATGCTTCAATTGACGATCAGCTGATTGGTCAGGGGTTCTCAACGTTTCAGTGTTTAGTGGTGTCTGTCTTGACATTGGACATTCGAAATCAACAACATTTACACGAATAAAAATACGTCGAATTTGTTAATATGTTTGTTATTTTGGAGGGAGTTACGATCTTTTGACTTGACCCTGTGAGGATTTTTAAAGACTTCGAGGGTGATCTAGGTATGATCAGAATTTCACAGATTTTTTCGAGATTTTTGGGATAAACTAACCTTTTTCATTCCAAAATAAAAACATATTTATCTATTGGGGAATCAAAAAAAGTGATATCTCCGATATTAAATATAACATTTAAGAGATAATACTGAATGAAAATAATAACAAATTTTGCCTTATCTACTTTCATGGGATAATTTGCAAATTGATAAAATATAAATAAATTTTTCAAAACGCACCCACCATGAAATGACATTTGAAAAAATGTCTGTTCTCAAAATTTGAAATTGTAAAAACAGTTTCGAAGTAAAACAGGTATTAAAAAAATGAATGATTTGTACATTCAGCGTGATTTTCTCGTGGAAAAATGAGAATTTTCCTCATAATTTCTTTTCAACCATAAAAATTTCATTATCAGCAGCTGCCTGCGATCCCTGCGATGAAGAAATCAATAACCTTCGGTAAAATCGGTTCATCCCTGCCGACACCTGGAGCCCCAGCCCCCTCTCTACCAGTGGCCACTTCAGGCTTCGGTAAATTCGGCAAAAAACCCCCGGAAAAAACGGCAACGGAAATCGACGAGATTCGTCCCGAGGACGATGAGGAGTCCGACAGTCTCCGTAAAATAATGGGCATGACGGGATTCGGTAAAAAGGCGAAAGCCTTCGACGTCCAAGAGATGATGGAGAACATTAAAAAAACGATGAGGGCCTCCCAGCCGGAGAAATCAGCTGACTCATCGGAAAAATCTCTCACACCCGATGCCGACTCCTCCTCATCCGAAGACGAAGTAATCGGACCCCTGCCCCCCGCCCCCTCGACAGCCACCAAAGACTCGGAAAATTCCGATTCAAAATCATTGATCAATCATAAAGATTCAAAGACAAAAATTTCCAAAGACTCCAAAGACTCCAGCGACTCCGAGGATTCGGATAGCTCAGACACCGAGGAGTTGAGCCCCATGGAAAAAATCCCGTGCAGTCACGAGGTCTCAATGAACCACGGGACAAAAGCGATAACAGCAGTGGCAGCAGATCCAGCAGGTGCTCGTCTTGCCTCAGGATCAGTGGACTACGACGTAAGTTTCTGGGATTTTGCAGGAATGGACTCATCCCTGAGGAGTTTTCGCACCCTCCAACCCTGCGAAAATCATCCCATCAAGTGCCTCCAGTACTCCATGACTGGAGACGTTATCCTTGTGATATCAGGCTCGGCGCAGGCTAAAGTCCTGGACCGTGACGGTTTCGAGAAGTGCGAGACGGTCAAGGGTGATCAGTACATCACTGACATGGCGAGAACAAAGGGCCACACAGCGGGTTTAAATGCTGGTGCATGGCATCCATTCGTCAAGGAGGAGTACATCACTTGCTCTCAGGACAGCACCTGCAGGCTATGGATACTGTACAGACCGAAGAGGCACAAGCAGCTGATAAAGTGTCGAGCACAGAATGGAGTAAAAACGATACCCACAACTTGTGGCTACAGCAGAGAAGGAAATGTTGTGGCCTGTGGCTGTATTGATGGCAGTATCCAGATGTGGGATCACCGCAAGAACTTTGTCAACCCGTCGTTGATCCTGCGGGAGGCGCATCAGAATGGAGCTGGAATCTCCAGCTTGAGCTTTTCGTATATTGGGGATTTGCTTACCACCAGGTCCTGCGATGATACTCTCAAGCTGTGGGACCTCAGGAGCTTTAAGAAACCTGTCTTCGTGGCTGACGATTTGTTCTCCAGGTCAGGATTCGTCTCTTCTTTTTTTTTATGTCATGATAGTCCACTGAAATTAATTGAGTGATAATTTATTGGATCTAATTATCTCATTTTTGCCTCAGATACGACACGACTGACTGCATGTTCAGTCCTGACGACTCCATGATCATCACTGGGGAGTCATTGAAGAAGGGCCAGACTCATGGAAGAATTCTGTTTTACGACAAGAACAGTTTTGAATTGGTGAACGAAATTCGGGTTACGAATTCTCACGTGATTAAGACACTGTGGCATCCAAAATTGAATCAGATTTTCGTGGGCTGTGGGAATGGGGTTGTCAAGGCGTATTACGACTCGAAGAGGAGTCTCAGAGGTGCCAAGTTGTGTGTCGTCAAGACCCATCACAAACAGAATCACATGGAGATGATGTCGACACAGCAGATTATCACACCACATGCTTTGCCACTGTTCAGACAGGACAGGCCCAAGTCCGTGAGGAAGCAGATGGAGAAGGATAGGCTTGATCCTGTTAAATCCAGAAGACCGGATCTACCCATCACCTCGGGACAGGGGGGCAGGGTTGTGTCTTCTGGGGGCACTCTCAGCTCGTATGTCATCAGGAATCTGGGGCTCAGTAAAAGGATTGAGGATGATCAGGATCCCAGGGAGGCTATTCTCAAGTTCGCCAAGGAGGCTGAGGAAAATCCTTACTGGATTGCTCCGGCTTACAAGAAAACCCAGCCAACTACCATTTTTCAGAGCGATGAAACCGACAGTGGACCCTCCAGCAAGAAACCTAAACTGTAGGGGTTCTCTCTTAGATTTGGCGATGTTTTAGGGAATTTTATGCGAAATTCCTTTACACAATTTAAAACTTTTTAATTTTGTAATATTTAAAAAAAAACTTGAGTCTTAAGTTGAACTTTTCCATGAGAAATGATGGAAATGAGAATTTGAAATTAAATAGAAAGTTACGGGAATCTTTTCTTCTTTGTATTTTATTATTAATCTCGGAATTTGATTTATGAATTTTCTTTATTTAATTAATTTAATTTGATATAATCGGACCTTAGTGGTGCTCAGGACTCCGAGGATCTTTGAAATTGCACCAGAATTATCAGATAAGTAACTGCTATGCTGAATATCTGAAAATAATGTCTCGACTAGAGTCGATGCATCAATTAAAATGCTCTAGGCATTTCCCGGAGAATTTGTTCGCCCAGAATTTCGATAGGATCCATTTATTTTTGTTCTCACCGAATGTACCAAAGTGCAGTCCAGAGGAAATACTCCATGAGCTGTGAATTCCACATTTCTGTGCAGCAGTTCCATCGAAAATTTTTTCAACTAAAATAATACCCAACATTATTTTCAATTCTTCTGCTTAATTCAGATTTCAAATTGATTCACCTCGGACTTCACCTCTCGACTAGGGAGCGACCAGGCGAGTAGTTTGTGGACAGCATCGGCTGTCATGTTCATCTGTTAAAGAAAATTGTATTACAATAATTACAAAAAATTATTCACACCGAGCAATTTAACAGCAAAAATTGCGATCTATCGGAAAGAATTTTTGGAGAATTTCCAAAAATTCGTGTGATAGGAATCCACTAAAATGTCTACAAAAACTACTTTTTTCAGGTTTTTTTTAAATAAAAAATGATGAAGTTAGGATAAAACCTCGTGGGTGAGTCTGTTGACGCAAATAGCCATCATGACAATAGGGAAGAGCTGCATGATGAGCATCAGTACAGCATTGGCAGTATTCAAGACAATTCTGTCTCCCCAGGATATGGATATGAGGGGAATAATCAGATAATAAGCGCTGTAAATAATAGTTCCACAGTAGAATGTCACAGCGAAAAGCAAAGGAACAGCATAAAAATTGGCAATATCATTGGACACCTCGTAGTAGTGGGCGTGAATTTTTTTCACAGCCAAGAGTGTGCCGACAATGGATCTGTCCAGAGGAACCCTGAGGACTGGTGTGATGTAGTGATCCAAGCTAATGCCCTCAGATACTCCATTAAGTTTTACAATCGTTCGATTGACACTTTGGAATCGAAGTGTCAAAAGACACAATACCATCGTGTACTGGATCAAAAGCCAGCTGACGATGAAGCTTGGGATGATCATCGATACCCAGAACAGTACATTAGCACCGAAAGCCTCGAGGATGAGAACGTCCGTCGTAATTACACCAGCCCAGATCATCAGATTCGAGATGAAGAACACCATCAGCAGTGGACTCGAGGCTCTCATCTGGTGGATCTGATTGTAACTCGTCATCTCCCGGTCGACATTGATCCATTTGCTAATTATGTCTGTCAGGACTCTCTGTCGCAGGCACATGATGAACCACACGAGGAACAGCACGATTGTACCTATTACAGCTTTTGTCAGCTTCAATCTTCTCGTCAAGACACTGTCACCGATGTATTGCATCTGGTACGTGTACGGGATCGAGTAAAAATCCAAACCGAAGATCACGACTACTAGGAAAAGACTGTACGCATAACCGATCCTCGAGGTATGGATTTCTAATCGTCCACTTGTCAATTTCACCCCCAGGGGCAGCAATCCGATGACTTTGAAGAAGTACAACGCGAATTTCGCGAGGTGAGTCCTCAGTCCTTGATTATTGAACTTTCGATTTAACTCGGGCATCTTTTCAGCGGAGATTACTGCTGGGAATGACTTCTAGGTTGCAATGGTCAAGGGACAGAGTCGATATCGATTGAACCTCGGATTCAAGCGCGTCCTGATGGAGATACTGCTGATTGCCATCGAAATGCTAGTCTGAGGGATTATTTATTCAGAATCGGGTGATGGATGCACCTGTTTACGTGGACAGACAGAAAGTCGTGGACAAATCATTTGAAAAAATCTTGTTTGTATTTTAGGACAGGTAATCAAACGGAAATTGCACCATTTTCCATGAAAAATTAATAAAGATTGCAGTTGTGATTTGAGTTCATTTGGATTGAATTTGATAAATCGAGAGGTTTTGAAAATTCCCCGATTATTATTCTTCCATAGAATATCTATATAGAAAAATTGGAATCTACTGAGTTTTTACTATCAAATATTTGAATTTGATGATGCAGTGGATTTTTTTGGCTGATAAATACCAATTAATTCTTGGAGATTACAATTCCCCGTGGGGAGTTGTTGCATTAAATCTGATTGTGGGATTGGGGTGATCTGTGCACCTTGAGTCGCACTCGTTCTTGAGATTGAGAGAATAGAACTGCATGAGAATTACTAGATATGTTCCAGTCATGTTAGCTATCTGGAACAAGAAAAACAACGGATTTTCTTAAACCGAAAATTCATTACTGAATTCGTCCTGTTCTTACTGAATGGAGAAGAGTGCAGTCCAGTGAGAAAAAGCCGTAGGCTGTGAAGTCTACCCGTCTGTGGAGCAATTCCAACGAAAAGATTTTCAACTGAAATAGATTTCCACTTTCAGTGTTTTATTGTTCTAATTGGTGAACCATCCATCCTAGTATTTCTTATAATCCATCAAGCTCTCGTACCTGAGATTTCAGCTCTCTAAATGTTGTGACAACACTCAGGAGATCGTGCACAGCATCAGCTGTGAGTTCCATCTGAATTAAAAAAAGAAGAGAAATTTTCTAACAAACTTCATATTATTAAAATAATTGGTAGGGGAGAGGAGTGCTACGTGGCTCTCCTAATTAATCTCTGCTTCCTGCAAATAGTATTTAACGATAATCACAAATAAGATCTTTATCATTGTTTAAGCATTTATCAATTGATTTTAGAAATACAGAATTAAAACTCCGCGTTAATTAGTTGAATAAGAAATTTGAACACTCATCAACGCATCAATTACTCCGCTCTTACATCTCTACAAAAAATGAGAAAGAAACTTCGAAAATATAAAAAAACGGGAGACCCCATTTTACCCTTCCTTCCCCTAAAATTATAGTAGACATCTAAGGAATTTGTTAATTAACTTTCGGCTGATTCTATTTGAATTTAATTTTTGTTTATTTTGTTGAGTAGAAGTTTCGTAATTTCTGGTGGTGAATCAATGATTTATCAAACCTCATTTTTTATTCTGGTCACGCTGATGGCCATCGCGGTAACCGGAAACAGTTCCATAGCTAGATAGAGAACAGAGTCCAATGCCAACAACGACGTGAGATCCTGAAGACCAGCGAAGAACGGTTTAATTAAATAATATGACGTATCGACAATAGCCCCACATGATACGGTAATAGCAAATAGAATAGGCAGTGAGTACAGGTGGGAAATATCGCGTGTTATTTTGTAAAGAAGCTCGTAGGAATTCCTGATGTCCAGCAATCGGCGCACCGTGAAATCGTCTGAGGTAATTTCCGTTGTGGTATACGTCGACGTAAATGTCACCGAGAGTCGTATCAATCCCTCATTTATAGCACGAAATCTCATCTCCAGGAGAATAAGAAGGAGCGAGTACTGGATGATGAACCAGTTGAGGACAAAGCTTGGGAGTCGTGTTGCCATGAAAGTCCTCTCGACGTATACTCCAAACTGTAGGACATCGATCACCAGAAGAATCATCCAGAGGTTCGCGTTGATGAGAAAAACTACTGGAATTCGCAGACCCACAAGTGGTGATCGTCGGATGGACTTCTGGTTTATCAGAGTCCTGTCAAAATTTCGCAGTCCATTCGCTATTTTTGCCGCCCTGTCCTGCGTCAGACTGAAAAATATTTTTAAAAATGTTTTCATTTTTTTAATCTGGGGAATTCAGATATTTTCATTCGATTTTTATATTATTTTTCGGCTGATTGGAACGAAATATTTAATTAAAAATGACAATAATATATTTCTATAGAATTTACTCGATTCAAATTCCATTGAATTATGTAAATTGTATTAATTATCAACGATAATTATTATTAATTTTAAAATCAATAGAATACGTAATTTATTTTATTGCGGCAATTTCTCTAGAATTTTCCGGTCTCAAATTTTGAAAAATAAAAGGTAAAAACTGTGCGAAAAATATTTCTAGGACAAATCTCAAAAGAATAAATTCGCGGAGTATACATCCGTTTTGATTTTTCTATAGAAATTCAGTGAAATTTCCGAGAATTCGCAAGGTTTTTCTAAGAAATTTTTTCATACGTGACGTGCAGCCAGATGAGGATGACTACAATAGTCCCAACGGTGGCCTTGGTGACGCGAATAGTCTCGATCATCCGGGACTTGTAGGGATAATCGAAATCGAACATGGCAGCTACCGAGTTTGAGCCCATATACATCAGGATCGGAATGAGAAGAATATTATAAATTGCTCCAAGAATCGAGTAGGAGACATCCCCAGAGTCTCCAGTGCTTTTCCCAATTTTCATCCCAAAAGGCAATAAACCAATTAGTTTAAAAAATATGTACACCATTAAAAAACATGCTCTCCCCCTCCAAGGCATCGTAGACTACTGAAGCTTCCACGCAAAATAAATATCCCACGGATTTCTACAAAAGGTGCGCATTATTTCCCAGAGCTTATCACAACGTGCGATCTTTAATCTTTAATCGAAAAAAAAAATGGAAAACCCTATGACATTCCGAGTAGTTGAAATCGATTAAGTCCTTTGAAAAATCATTAAAACTCTATTTAAAAATGTCTAGACATTGGACTTGTCTGTATTTTTCACTGGGACAACGAAAATCATTGAAAATCCTGAGTAATTGATGGTTACGTGGTGCCACATTGATTTGACGCACAAGTTTCGTTGAAAATAGTATTTAAAATAATATTGTTGCTGGTGACGTGATCTGTCGATGTTCTCTCGGTTCCTTGGAACTGAATGAGAATCACGAGATACGTCCCCGTCATATTTGCAATCTGCAAAGTATTTTTTCAATTAAATATAATTAATGATTTGCAGAACTTTTGAGACTCACTGAATGCAGGAGTGTGCAGTCCAACGAGAAAATTCCACAGCAGGTGAATTGTAGTCGTCGATGCAGCAGTTCGAGTGAAAATAATTTCAACTGAAACAACTATTTTCATGTATTATTAATAATAATGGGAGGAATCAGGTGAATACCTCGGATTTCAATTGTTTATCCGAGAGGGATTCTGCCAGGAGTTTGTGGACAGCTACTGTTGTGAGCTTCATCTGAAAATCAATAACAGATCAATTAAAATTCATAAATTTCCAATTTTACAAGAGAATATCAGATGATTCAACACACATTAATTTAAGGCCCGGATGGTCTGTCTGGAAAAGATAATTTACTCCAAAATTGGGACTTCTAATTACTCTGTCGATTAATCGTTTTTTCCGATAATTGTTAGCTAGCGGCCTAGTTGTTGACAACCGCTAGAACGCTAGCTAACAATTATTGAAAAAAAACTATTAATTGCCAAAGTAATTAGGAATCTTTTCTAGATAATCCACCCGAGCCTTAATTTTAAACGGGAAAAGCCGTGACGAATTTCGTTGAAAATCACTGAAAGTGAATGAATAAAAATCAAGGTGAATATATACATAGATAAATAAATAAATAAATTCGGCAAAGATATTTTTTGTGGAGGGGAGAGGGGGGTAAAATGGACCCCTAAACTGATTCCTCAACAATTTCTACTGCTTAAATTACTAGTCCTTACCCTCAAAAGCCTCCACCTAAATTTGTGCAACGCTTCGACAAAACGAAAAATTTTTTTTTCAATGCTCCCGAATTGACTCCTCGAAACGACACAAAACAATTCATTTTTGATCTCTATCATTATTTAAGCATTAATTAATTAAATTTAGTATACAGGATAAAAACTCCGTGTTGATTAATTAAATATGAAATTTCGACACGCACCAACGCATCAATTACTCCGCCCCTGCCTCCTTATAAAAAATGAGAAAAAAACATGAAAAATATAGAAAAAGGAAAACTCCATTTTGTCCTCCCCTCCCCTACACAAGTGTAGATTAAACCCTGAACGTCAATTATGATTTTTAATCTCATAATTCACTAATTGAGATATCGTAACGACTTTTAAGAATTCGTAATTATGGAAAATGATATATTTTTAATGTACGAACCTCGTGACTCACTCTAGTAACAGTAGTAGAGAGAATGACAATAGGAAATACCTCCATGGCGAGATAAGCGATAGAGTCCAGAGTCCTGAAAATGCTGACAGCCCTGTGCATCAGAAAAGGTACAATCAGATAATAAGAAGTGGTGAGAATAGCACCACACGAGACAGTGATGATGAGTAGCACAGGAAAGGCGTAAAAATTGGTGACAGCACATGCCACGTCGTACAGAAGTCCATGAAGAGCCATCAAATCCCTGAAGACACGAGTGTCTTCGATCAAGCAGCAATGACTCTTCGAGAGTCGTGTGATTGCACGATTAATTCCCCGGAATCTGGTCTCGATGGAGCTGAGGACGAGGGAGTACTGGATGAGGAACCAGTTGAAGATGACATTGGGAAGAATAAAAATCACGAAGCTAGACTTGAAGAGGGACTTGAAGACAGTCATGTCCAGCCAGAAGACGTTGATCCAGATGAAGACGTTTGTCCAGATGATTGCGATCATCCTGAGATCCAGGGATTCGTGGTAGTGGACGTTCTTCAGTGTCATCAGCATCTTGTCAATCGTCAAGAGCCTCTGGGTTATCTCCACTGCCTTCAGCTGTCTCAGACTGACAAACAACCAGATGAAGAGGGTGACAATTGTGCTGGATATTGCCCTCGTCATCCCAATCGTCATCACTGTTTTCGTTTTGTAATCGAATTGGATATCATAAAATGCCTCCACTGCTGGAAAGCTCAGGGTGAATGTCACCAGAATCAAAATCCAGTTGTACACTAGCCCCAGGAATGAGACTGAACATTTTTTCGAATCGTCAGTCCTCGGAGGAGAGAGTCGAATCGAAAACGGCAGCAGTCCCAAGATTTTGTAGAATAAATACAAAAATAGAATCGGTTTCATCATTTTTGTTTGGGATTTCTTTTATTGAATGTTCCATTAACACACGCTATTTATTAATTAATATCAATCGTTTGCTGGATTGTTTTGGCATTTTAGGGGATGAAGACATGAATTTTAATCCACCACTTGCTTTTTTTCTTGTGGAAATGGGAGAAATCCGAATGTAATAAAATTTCTGTCGTTGAAGATGAACTAGTGACAGTCGTGGGACGAGACATGTGGAAATGGCAATCGATTGGCGATGGAGATCTGACGTGTAATAATCTGTTTTCATGTTATAATTCATCGTTTGCATTTGTCGTATCTCCGAGGTAATCTGTACTGTAAATAATTTCCCCAGAATTTCTGTTAATGATCTAAGAATTTCTTGCAGCTCGTTTAGGCGAATTGGAATAGGATGATTAGGTAATTTGCTGTTGTATCAAATATCTGGAAAAGCAAATAACTATACATATTTTAATGATGATGATCGTTGATTATTGTTGATTATGTCCGAGGGCTTATGACTCACTGAGTCGTCGGTGATGAGGTCAGTATGGATTTTAACCCGTGGAGTAATCCTGGGATGATCTTATCGGGAGTCAGTGGCGATTAGACGTTGTGATAAGTCGCCCTTTGAAAATTTCATTGTCAGTTTATATTTGCGGATTGCCACCCTCTCCGGCAATCACCACAATTTCACGTTTTTACGACTGCCAGCTTATCTGGTGAATCATTAAGGAGAAGTCCATCTCATTCTGAAAATCTCGATTGATGAATTGTAACTGTAATTACAATTATCATAATACATAACAATAATGATATAATTTTTTTATATAAAAACTAATTTCCATTTTTTTTTTTCGATTATAGAGCAATCCAACATTTTTAATTAAGACAAATAGATTAATATTTTTAAATATATTTTTCTCTATGAATAATTAATTTTCGTAATCTATAAGTTATGTACGAAAAATAGTGAAACTTTTTGTTAACGTTATCCATTTTTCTGGAAAATTTACTATGGAATTGACGTGAAAAAATATAACTTTTTTGTGTTTTGTTATTATTTAATGACGTTTTCTGTGCGTCTTCTAGATTTTTCCGAAGAATCACAAAACTATAGAGAAAACACAAAACGTTCCATTTTTCACATCAATTTCACTGATAATTTTCCAAAAAATGAAAATAAAAAAACGTGAATTATCCTTAAATCTCAATTCGTTTAAAAAGGACAATTGTATTGCAGATTGGAGGATGTTCAAATTTGGCGCGCAACTCCCCGGATAAAACAGCTGTTCAGGCGCCCCCTGCAGGAGGCCTTCCCCCAATCCCAAAGAGGGCCATAACCCGAGAGAAGGGCCCCATAGCGTGGTGAGTCAGACGAGGCCATCACCATCGCCCAAGTGGCCCGTATCGTCAACGTCTCTCGTTTCCATTATAAATTTGCCCCCCTAAAAAAAAAGAGAGAAAAATAAAAGAATAAGAAGAAGAAGGCCGCGTTGCCCGAACAAGTGCCAATAACTGCCAAATAAATGCTCATCAACGCTCCCTGATTCCTCGATAAACCCCCCGAGTGTCAAAAAAGCTATAGTGCACCCCGAATATGTGATAGTGTCTCCTCGACTCCCGGAATCTAGTGGAAAACCAGTGCAACTCCATATCGCTAACCCTTTAAAAATTAAAAAACCCCCCGCGATGTTTCACCACGAGTATGAGAAACGTCTCCTGAAGCCGTACAACGAGGGAAAACGTGAATCCCAGTCGAATCCCATGTCCCCGACTTATTTGTCACCTACTAAATCGACTAATAGTTATGATCGTTTTATTCCAACGCGTTCTGGGAATAATTGGTACACAACATTTTCCATGATCTCTGAGAACAGTCGCAATGGTCTTGTCCCGAAGAAGACGCGAGAGAATGGAGAGGGAAGTCGTGATGGTATAGCGTATTCGAGTCTGTTGAAAAATGAATTGCTTGGTGCGAGTATTGAGGATGTGAAGAGTCAGTCTGAGGAGCGTGGAATTTACTCAGTCCTCCAGGGGAGAAATCTCTTCAAGTATGCAACACCACCCAAGGACAGGAGTCTTCTAGACCAGAGCTCACCGTATTCACTTTCACCATTGAGTGCCAAGAGCCAGAAGCTCCTCAGGTCACCCAGAAAGACAACTAGAAAAATCTCCAGGATTCCCTTCAAAGTGCTTGATGCACCCGAGCTCCAGGACGACTTCTACCTCAATCTTGTGGATTGGTCTTCACAGAATGTTCTCTCTGTGGGTCTTGGCAGCTGCGTCTACCTCTGGTCAGCCTGCACCAGTCAGGTCACCAGATTATGTGATCTCACTGGTGATGGAAATTCTGTCACTTCTGTCGCCTGGAATGAGAGGGGAAATCTCGTGGCTGTTGGCACACATGTGGGATACATCCAGGTGAGATACCCTTCAGGGCAAGGTTTTTATTTATTATCATTGGTCAAAATTTCAGGGTAACTCTCACATTTCAATGAAATTTTTTGGAGTATGGGTCGATTTTTTACTTGATAACCTCAAAAATAATTCAAATTTATTACCTCACATTTCCAAAAAATAATGAAAACTCTGATTCAGGTATGGGACGTGGCGGTGAACAAGCAGGTGGCTAAACTCCAAGGGCACAGTGCCAGGGTGGGAGCTCTAGCGTGGAATGGTGAGGTGCTGTCTTCTGGCAGCCGTGATCGACTGATTCTCCAGAGGGACGTGAGGACACCCTGCGTCGTGGGGGAGAGAAGACTCGGTGCACACAGACAAGAGGTTTGTGGACTCAAATGGTCACCAGATAATCAATACCTCGCCTCTGGTGGCAATGACAATCGACTGTACGTCTGGAATCTCCACTCGCTGTCACCAGTTCAAACTTACACCGAGCATCTTGCTGCTGTCAAGGCCATCGCCTGGTCACCTCATCATCATGGGCTTCTGGCATCTGGCGGTGGTACAGCTGATCGTTGCATCAGGTTCTGGAATACACTCACTGGACAGCCAATGCAGTGTGTCGATACTGGCAGTCAGGTTTGCAATTTGGCTTGGTCCAAGCACAGCTCTGAGCTCGTCAGCACTCATGGCTATTCCCAGAATCAAATTCTCGTTTGGAAGTATCCCAGTTTGACTCAAGTTGCTAAACTCACTGGTCACTCTTATCGCGTACTTTATCTTGCTATGTCACCTGATGGCGAGGCTATTGTCACTGGCGCTGGTGATGAGACACTCAGGTTTTGGAATGTTTTTAGTAAGGCTAGGAGTCAGAAGGAGAACAAGTCTGGGCTTAATCTTTTTACTTCTATTCGGTGAATTCTTTTTTTTTGCTTTCACCATTTTCATTTTGGGGGGATGCCTCGGGGGGTGGAAATAATTTGAAAAAAGGGGAAATTCGACTTTTTTTAATTTACCACTTCGGTATTGAAATGGAAATCGGAACATTTGACTCGTCGGTGGATTAAATGATTTATCCCACATTTTTTGGTTGAAGTATCAAAATGAGTCGATGAAACTCACGGAAAGTAGACTTTAATTATTTCTATGTATATTCTATACATACCAAATTATTCATCACAATCCACTGAAAATTAGAGTGCTCTAATTAAAATCAATTTCGTGAATCGAATCTGGAGAATTCGATAATTTAAATGAATACAGAAGTAAAATGTAAAATTCCACTTGTTCCCTACTTTAGATTCGGATAAATATCTCTGGACCCAATAGAAATATTAAAATTTTTTTAAAGGACTTGTTTTTAAGAGTGAAACAAATTTGTCGAACCCTGCAAAAAATACTTCAGCTAAAATTCCGCTTCTCTCAGTTAGACTCAAAGATATTCCTAATTAATTAAATCGACTCGTTACCCTTGACCTTTCCTGAATAAAATCAGCGAAGAGAAGAAGCACAAGCAATTAATAAGAGGAAAAAAGAATTTCCATCCCTCGCGGACAATAAAAACAAGACCTCCCCAGTATAAGCACGGCCTGCTGCAATAATCCCACGAAATAAAAAGAAGATAGAGCCCCAATGAATTTTTTACACCCTAACTCTTACACTAGCGTTTTTTTTTTGTGACTGAAGTGTCTGATCATCAAGGGCTGGTGAAAACCCCGGGGAAGTACGACTAATATACACAACAGCTTAAGAATTTTTCACGGTAATTTTCATTTCGATTTTTTAGTTATCTATTCAAGTCATGTGTACAAATTCAAGTCGAGAAAAGGAATAAAGACGATGATTTGCGAGGAGCTACTATTTATAACAAAGAGGAAATTATATTGATATATATGCATATTATAATATATAATTATTATGTACTAACCAATCAGCGTGGGTGTGTGAGTGTTGAAATGAATTTAGATTTATTGTGAGTCAAGGCTTGAAATGATTATGATTTATCCTCACTGTTAGAGTCTCCAGCACTCATAAAATCATTTCGTGGGTGAAGTGTCGAGCGAACGTTTGAGAACGTTCACCCCTCGGCAGTGCAATTATAAGAAAATGTATAAATATTCGGTGAGAGAGTGGTTTTCATAGCTTTTTTTTTTGAATATTTTCAAGTGACTATTGATCGTTTATAAGTAGCATTAACAAATGTGCAAATTTACCCTTTTTGTAGGTCCTAGGGACGTATTTTTGCTTTGTAATAAGTTTTTCATTTCTTATGTCGCACTGAGTCTCAATGTCGATCCCTTCAACGATAATTCATTGTTTTTCATTATTCGAATGATTCATTGTGTTATACTGGTCATGTGGAGTGTAACGAGAGCTCGAGAAGTACATGCATTTATCGAGAATTCCGCTTGAGGATACGAGAGATATGTATATTAGGACGAGAGTAACACACGGTAGAAGGCATAAACTAAGTTTATGTGTAAGGAACTGTTTTATACGTAAGGGAAGGAAGTACATAAAATATAGTACAATTGAAAATTTACGAGTGTTCGTTTATTGCAGTGAACCTTTAATATATCCTGCGTTTAATTATTAGCAAATAATATTGTTGCTAAATTTCTGGCGTGTAATTAGAATTAATTAAATGCAGAGAATTAAAAGAAAATTGATGATGGAATATACTTAATAGAAAATTTATTATGTAGACTGGAATCTTCATCGGTCTAAAATATAATTTCCAAACAAACCTGATCGATTGTACAATACAAAAAAATCATAAAAAATTATGATTGAAAAATAAATGAATCTATTCAATCGCTTGATTGTGATTTTTTCTTTTTCTTCTTCTTTTCACTAGTTGGGGCTTCTATTTCCTGCGTGACATCCGAGGCTTCCTCATCCTGCATCTTCTTCTTCTTCTTTTTCTTTTTGGGCTCTGAAAGATAATTGAATCCATGAATTTTCAACTGTTTCATCAATTTTTATTCAGTTTTGTGGAATCAAATGATAAGTAAATTACCTGTGGTGTCTGGACTCTCTTCAGGTTCTACCTCGATCGTCTCCTCGAGCTCCTGCTTCTTCTTCTTTTTCTTCTTCTTCTTGCCTTCCTCAGCAGACGTGGAGGGCTCCTCGAGCTCCTGCTTGACCTCGACCTCGACCTCAGCCTCGGCCTCGGGCTCAGCCTCGCTCTGCCTCTTCTTCTTCTTCTTCTTCTTAGGTACTTCCTCCTCGGGCTCTGCCTTGATCTCCTCGATGAGGGGCTTGGTTTCCTCCTCGAACGGTCTCTTCTTGCCAATAGTGGAATCTCCAGCCACTGGATACTGAACGAATTCACTCTTCGTCTGGTACTTCTCGAACTTGGCCTTGGCCTTACCAGTGCCACTGATTCTCTTGAGGTTCCCCTCCTCCAGAAGCCGCAACCTTGCCTCGAGCTTGGCCTTGTGCTCAGCCCCGAGGTCAAAGGTTGCATCCTCTCCGAGGGCATCTACCCTCGTTGCCAGGGATGCCTTGGCTGCTAACATCCTCGACATCTTTCCCTTGTTCTTTGTCGAGCTCTGGCCCACCAACTGTGCATGATAAATCAATCCGTACTTCGGGGTATCTCTCTTCGTCTTAAGTGCCCTGAACAGCGCCTTCTCAGCACCCAGAATCTGAACAGTTGAGGCCGGATGCTTTGCCAAATTGATCAGTGAACCTGCATGAGATATCAAACGAGCACCAACTAGCTCTCCTACTAGAACTGTCAAATTTGGTGCCATTGCCATCATCCTTGTCCTCAGGTAGTCGTACAATTGAGATCTGTACTGGGATATCTCTATCACTTGGTCGCACAGGTGTTGAATGTTGAGAATGTCATCGTCTGAGATTTCTGTTCCCATTGATATCTCTGCAGCTTCTTTCACCTTCTCCTCGACATCTTCAGGGAGAATATCAGAGAGATCAGATTTAATGGTGTGTTCACGAGTTCCAATGATCTTCACGGTCTTGACGAAGGCGACGTTGTCAGTGATGAGCTTTCCCAACTCAGGAAAGTGCCAGCCATACCACTCCCTGCATCGCATCACGTAATTATTGAGCTCTTTGTCGAGGTCGTCGAGGAGGCAGACAGCCTGGATGATCATCGTATCGACCTTGTCGGGGGAGAATTTGAGTTTGTAACGTGACAGACTGTGGGCTAGACCCAGGGCCATTGCAGTCATCTCTTTTTTAGGAAGACCTGCCAAGAGGCTGTCCAATTGGCTCCTTATGCATCGCATCAGCTCCTGGATGGACGTGTTACTCACGCAGGAGAGACTCAATTTGTCCTTTATGGCATTCCCCAGCTTGGCATCTGCCACTGCCAACTGCTCCTGCACTTCGCTGCAGTGCTTCTTCAGCATCTTCTTCAGGGACTTGCAGAGCTTACCCTCCACTGCAGCTGTCGTCGCTGCCAGGGCTTCTGTCGTGTCCGCGAATTTCTCGAAGTGCTTCAGCTTGAGCCTGCATTTTGCCAATAAACAATTTTTTATTGTTATTATATTCACAAAAATTAGAGAAATTCACACATAAATAAATGAAGAATAAAATTAATAATAGTAAATAGGGGAGAGGAGGGTAAGATATACCCCCAGAGTTTGAATGGCTAGCCCTTACTCTCAAAAGTCTCCACCTAAATTTGTGCAACGCGTCGACAAAACGAAAATTTTGGGGGGAAGGTGGTTAAAATGGACTCCCTTCCCTCTCACCATTTTTTTTCCAATTCTCCCAAATTGACTCGTCGAGACAATAAAAAACAATTGCTTTCTGCTTCGTGCAAATAGTGTTTAACGTTAATCATAAATCAGATCTTTATCGTTGTTTGAGTATTTATCAATTGAATTTAGTATACAGAATAAAAATTCCAAGTTAATTAATTAAATATGAAATTTAATCACGCTAAAACGCATCAATTACTCTGCCCCCACATAAATCAGGAGAAAACTTGGAAAATATAAAAAAAAAGGGAGGCTCCATTTTCCCTCCCCTTCCCTAAATCGTAAGTAAATAAATGCAGAAATCACTGACATGCCGTCGCGTATTCTGATGTTCAATTATTATGTAGAACAATTTTCCACCCAGTGAGAGATGCAAACATGCAGGTGTTTTCCAATAAATCTCAGTAATGAATAATTCTGTTTTTACAGGACTAGTACTTACAATTTACTAGCAGCCTCTGGTGTTTCAAAGTCATGATAGAGATTCTCAGTTTTTGCCAATTTATTCTCGTCGAGGAGCTAAAAAATTTCCAGAAATTCGGATAAACACATATTTTTTTAAATTTATTTGGAGCACAGGAGATCCCCACGTGCACCTCGAGGTTAGTTTGCCAATAATACATCGGCTGATAATAATTGCACTGAAATTACCTTGAAAATAGCGTACCCCGCAGGGGTCTCGAACAGCACCAACATCTCACCACTTTTCTTTGTTAATCCACTTCGATGATTATTAATTATATACCGAAAACAACGAAAAAACGGTGGACGTGGAGGCACATGTGCCGGAGCGTCTGAAAATCTCACGGAAATTGAAATTATTTGAATGTGTGAGTGAGGCGCGTCCTACAGGCAGCAAAAAGTCATTTTTTTAAATCGCTTAAATTTGTTGAAGGTTGAAAACCACTTGCATCGATTTTGTAGACAATAATCTCCAGTTGATAATTTTTTAAGTTGAAATTCATCATTTTTGTATGAAAAACTAAACGAATTGTTGAGAATTATTGGTTAGAAACGCGATTGTGGGAAAACGGCCCGGAATTCCTATGGCGTCACTTCCGGAATTCAAAGAACTTTCTTGAAAGATTTAATATAATTTTGTGGAATTTGGATTATTATTGGAGATTCATCAAGAGGACAATTAAAATATCAGGTAAAATACTCAAAGAACTATTATTTTTGATGTTCTAAATGATTAAATTCGTCAATCCAATCGTATTATAAATTTAAATAATCCATTTTTAATTTTTAGAAATTAATTTTTGTTTTCTTCGAATGAATTAAAATTTGATTCATTCAATTGATTAAAACTTTAAAAATTAGGAATTAATTTCAGAAGTTCAACCGTTTAAATAATATTTTTGCAAAATAAAATGAATTATCTTCTTGAGTATCCAGAATGAATTCAGCACGTGATGAGGACCTCGACGAGGATTGCGACGACTTCGACGTCATCATCGTCGGTGGAGGTCTGACAGGACTATCCGCCGCTTATCACCTGTCGAAAAAACGAGCTAATTTATCATTAATGATCCTTGAAACTAAAAGTACAGAGAAAATCCAGTGCTTATCTCACGATTTCCAATTCTTCAAATATTTATTTCAGATTCAGTAGGAGGCAGATTAAAATCCGGAGAGCCCTTCGATCTCCTCCTGCATTCATTCCAGAATAATCTGACGCAATTACTCCAGGAGCTGGAGATTGAACTGGAACCTGGACAATGCAGTGATGGAAGAACTGTTTTCTGCGACGAGGACGGCCCAATTGATTCAATGACTCCCCTAATTGCTGCGCAAGTGTATTATTGCATGAAATCGGTGGGTATTTTTCTACTTTTTCAACTAAAAACTTTCTACTAAAACTTTTTTTTTTAGTTGAACGAAAGTAGTTCAGACAGACGATTGAATTCCAGTGAAGACAACGAAGAATTCGCGATTCTCGCGCAATTAAGTGGCTCTGATTTAATTGATAGAATGGTTCTGTCATCCCGCGCTAAATTCATTTGCCAGAGTTTAATTTCCCTGAGTTGTGGTAATAGCTCAAATGAATCAGTCTTCTTCAATTAAACGCAGCCCTTTCCAGGTCTTACGAATTTAAACGAAGTGTCTGCCCTGTGGTTGTTGGAAGTTCTCCACGGAGCCGGAGGATGTTTTCAAAGAGTCAAATTCTTTCTGAATAATAATTCCCGTTATTTCATCAAAGTAAGTGTCAGGACAGAATTACCGAACACTGCGTATAACGGAATCCTTTTTGATTTTCCCAGGGAGGAAATTCTGTCCTTCTTCAACGGTTGACTGATAAAATCATAGAAGAGAATGTAATTATGAACTGTTCTGAAACTGTGAGTAAAATCACATTCAACGACTTCCGGAATTTCGTGACGACAAATTATAAAACGTACAAGTCAGTGAGAATTCGTCGAATTTCCATAAAAAATTGAATCCGTCGATTTTGTGAAATTTCAGGTGCAGGTACGTAATCCTCGCGATTTCTCCTGCAGACAGTGGGATAATCATCCCTCAGGTCCCCGAAATTTACACAAAATGCCAAAACTCTTACATATCAAACCGACTAATTTACTTCGAATGCAACTCGATCTTCCAGAACTCCTTGGGAACGATCGTTCCCCTGATTTTGCAGCCATGGGGACATCTCAGACTGATTCAGGAGACATGCACTCCTCCAGGAAGTGAAATAAAAATCCTGTCCGGGTATTTCTCCGTGGAGAATTCTTCGGATGAACACCGGAGATCCCTAGAGCTCTTCAGAACCTTAAGGCAGTGCTCTTCCAGGTTGGAGAACATGGAGTACGACGAAAGGGAGAGGAAAGGTCTGATGTGTGTCCTGAGTCCTTCGCCAATCCGGTATCACCTGAATCTCATGAGAAATCCCCACAGGAGGTAGGGCTCGACGGCCAAAATGAACTCTAAATGTCCAGAAAACTCCGACGCAATTCCATTCCTGTTGTAGAATTTTTTTCGCTGCCAGTGAGTACTCCAGGGAGTGGCCAGGAACAGCTGATGGTGCTGTTGAGGCTGGTGAGCACTCTGCATGTCTAGTCCTCAGTGACGTGCGACCTCAGACTTTGACTAGAGATCAAATAACAAAATATATGTCAGTTCTTACTTTTCTATCAGTATTTACTCATTTTGGATATTAATTTTCGTTTTTTTCTTGCAGACCTGTAAAGACAAGAAAATTAGAATCCAAATTTGAAGTCTGGATGGCCGGATCTATTCTTTTAATTGCTAACTCTATGATTTTCTGGTCATTTTGTCGGAGCGCGTACAATTTTTGAAATGCGATTAAATTATTGATTCGTTGCTGAAAAAAAAATGATCGATCTGTAGAATAATTTCTGAAAGTGAAGAAGTAATAATTGAACGTCTGGACACACAAATCCATTTGAATCAGTATAAATAAAAAAGGAAATTGAAGTTTTATAAAATTACAACAGAATAATTATCGGTAAGACTTTTTTATTTATAAATCACTATTATTTTTGGTCGAATAAGAAAGACACATTGATGATACCTCACACATATTTCACACTCGAAGGATAATTACTAAAGGAACTTAGTGTAGGGGTTCTCTCTGGCAGAAAGACGATAAAACGTGTGATAAAACGCGTGATAAAACGTGGATTTAAATTCTCTCAGTCATATAAAACGTGACAACTCCAATTATGACGCATACGACCGCGAAGTAAAGACCTCGCATCATGTACATTCGATTGTTGCTCCTCTCGCATTCAACACTCTCTGTCCTCTCCTTTCCCTTCCTCCGAGGCTTGAACTTCCTCTCGAATTTCTCCACTTCCCTCTGATTCTTCAACTCCTCCTCTTTCTTCTTTCTCGCCAACTCCACCTCCTGGGCGCGTTCTTTCTGCTGCTTCAGCTCCTTGCACTGATGGTCACACTCGATCTTCACATTTCCCCTCTGCACTTCCGTGCAGAGAACTGATTTTTTTATTCTCTGGCACTTGCAAGTGATTTTAATTCGCTTGTTGCAAATGTCTGAGGGGCGACAGTTACCCGAATGACAGTTGTCAATGCACCGGTGGCCACAGGAGTACTGGAGATAAAATCATTAATAATTAGTTAAAGATTGGATTTGTTGTTAAAAATAAGATACGACATCCTCTGAACTTACATTTCGTGGACACTGATTGCCACACTTGAGCATCTCGTCCCTGTCCTTGCCCCTGGTGCTAGTGACCTCGACACACCTTTTGTACAAGCTATTGAGGCCACAATGACAGGCAATCTTGACGGGTTGCTTGCAGGGTGGACATGGTGCAGGATGACATCTGTTTGGACACAAATGAGAGCATCCATCAGGCCTCGGCAGTTTGCAGGGCTCCTCGCACTCCATGCAATCGTCGACATCACCAGCTCCCCTCACCTTATGACAGACAATCTCACAATTGTGATTACCACAAGGCAGTCCCCTGCCACATTCCCTCCCACAGGATCCAGGAATAGCAATATGGCATGGCCAGGGCCTAGTCTCATGTCCCCCCAGACAGGTCACCATAACAGAGACCTCGCAGGGTGGACAGGGAAGGGTTTTGAGTTCCATTCGGTCCTTAGATAACTCCCAGGGTCCAGCTGGCTGTGCGACACCATTGACCCTCACCTTGACCCACACCTTGCTATGACAGACAGCGACACACTGGTGTCCACATCTCTGATACACCAGATGACAAATTTTCTTGCATGGGGGACAACTGCCCTGATGACACTTGTGGGACTCTTGCTTAGGATGATGGCAAATCGGTGGAATTCTACACAATTTGTTACAGTGAGGGGGTTTGATTCTCTTCCTGGTGCCACATGGCACCTCAATCTTGCTGTTGCCACACCTGCACTGGAAGGTGATAGTTCTGGGACAGGGGTAGCAGGGACCAGAGTGGCATGGGGCTGTACACTTGTGCTTCCTACAGTTGAGGGAACTCTCGCAGATCTTCTCACATGGATTTATCCCAGTCTTGCTGCAGTCACAGCACTTTTTGTTGCATGGATGCTTGCCACACGCTCTGATACTCGTGCACTTCTTGTTGCAGTGAAATTCTTTGGTGCAGGATATCTCCTTCGTGTAGGAGCCACACCTGCACGCCTTGGTAACGACCTCCAGGCACTGGCCACAGTCACCGAGATGACAGCGCATGTTGCAGAAGTGAGTGCCACAGTCCAGGAGTTTTCCACAAGTGTCTCCGCACGTTGGCAGTGTTTTCTGCTTGCAGGAGACGTTGTACTTTTTTTTTCCACAAGGGCAGGTCCTATTTCTTGCCACTGGGCAGTCACCACAGTCACCTGGTGCATGACAGGTGCCCTCACACGTGTGAATTTTGCAGTTTAGCTGGTTGGTGCATTTTTTTGGACATCTCCAGGTGATTTCTGAGCACTTCAGGGATTTTGTCGAGGTGCCACAGTGACAGGGGGTTGATACCACTTCTGGACAGGGTAGACAAGGGCCAGTGTGACACTCTAGTTTGCAGGTGTGGCCACAGGGGAGGATTTTGTTGCAAGGGGCTCTGCAACTCCAGGACTTGGTGTTGCAGCGACGTGGCTGTAGTGGCTGCTTTCCACAGTGGCACGTCGTCGACACCATCTTCGGACAGGGGGGACAGGGCCCTGGATGGCACAGAAGGGTGCACGTGTGTCCACAGGGGGGATTCAGAGGCTTTGAACATTTCTCCTCGCAGGAGTGGGGTATTATCCAGGGCTGTGGCTCTGGGTCTTTTGTTTTTTGGCAGAAGCAGAGATACGATGTGGGTGTGGAGGACTCTGGATACTCTGTTCGACATTTTGGACATGCCCACACTGGTGGAATACCTTTTGAGTGTTTTGACGTCAGGCTGTCTCGGATCCAGTGCTGGATGCACGTCAAGTGGAGAAAATTGTAACACGTCGAACAGCTCCATATTGGATCAGTTTTTTTCACTGAAGATATACAAATCAGGCAAACAGCACCTCCTGACTGGAACAAATCAGTCAGGTATGACAGAGTTTTTTCTGTGTCTCCACCTTCAAACTCATACGAGGACAGTGTTTTGGAGACAGCCTCCTGGAGTGATTCGTGAGAATTTTCATTCTCCTCATCGCTCGATGATTCTAGGACATTTCCATTCAGATGTCGTTCGATGGACGCCTGATTCTGGGCCTGAGCTCTCCTGAATTTTCGCATCCTGTGGGGCTCAATTCATCTGAATTAAAATACTTTAGAATGTGATAGGATCCAAAACATCGATTTTACACCTTTTCACTCGATATCTATCGACTTTTGAATGAAACTGCTCAATCCAAGACGACGATTCCTCGATTTTGACCAATGGAATTGTTCTACGTGGAGATGTGATAGCGTTCTCACTTACACATCACTCGTTTTTCGAGTATTTTCTGTATCTTTTCACATCAGCTTCACTTCTCAGTTCTCACTTCATTTCTACTGTCTGTACTTCGCGAAGTTGTTAGGTTACTCTGGCGAAACATTTTTATCGACAGCATTTGTGTTGACAATGAACGAGAGGTTATGAACTCCATGATAATTATTTTAGGAGGAGATCATTCTTCAAGGAGACAAAAAAGAGAGGAGAGAAGTGTAAAGAATAATCTGAATTGTGAGTTTAGAAAATAGGCGACGTAATTTTTCTTTTTTTTTTTATTATATCAATTAAATTATAAATTGTATGAACGAATTTATAAAACGTTACCCTAAATAAGAATCATGTAAAATCCTCCAGATTTAATTCTAATTACATTCTGCATTAACCAGTGCTTCAAAATGATCTTCTGCTTCTAGATATTTATAATGAGCCAAAAAAATTTTGTGATTCTCCCTGGAATTCTACCCTGGAGATAATTCCAGTTATAAAAAATGACGCACAACGGTGGGATCCGATGGCGAAAAAATCTGTACGAGAATCGTGACCTGCCGGACAACTACACGGACAGCAGTTTCCTGGAGGAGCTGGAGAAGAACATAAAACCGAACAATGTGACAACAATTGAGGCGATAACCCTGGGCTCCAGTATATCAATTCAACTAAGTATCGTAATCCTCTTCGTGATGGTCTTCATCTGGCTTAACAACGAGTGGACAACCCCCGACATAATCTTCACGTCATCAGCTGGTCTGACAGTTTTCGGATACTTCTCCCACACCCTGAAGCTCCCAGACATGCCAGACAAGATATCCAAGGACATAAGAACAGCTCTGATCTTCCTGGCCTTTGGCTACATTCTCTCTCCAGTCCTGAAGACACTGACAGAGACTGTCAGCACCGACACGATATACGCCATGACGATTTTCATGTTTCTCGTTCACCTGATCTTTTCCAAGTATGGATCCCCCCAGGTGTCCCTGTCAGACTCGCTGTCAATAACTTCCTCGATCTTTGGATCTCTGATGTTAGCCTCAAGACTAGCCTCGCCTCTTCATGCCTTTTCATTGCTGACTGTTGCTGTTCAGTGCTTTGTACTCCTCCCATTTTTACTCTCAAAAATCGAGAACAAGACGGTGATATCGATTCTCCTCACAGCAAGCACTGTCTACCTCCTGGGGATCATCTCACCGACTTTGACCTGCGTTTTCGTCGCTGTCACGATATTTGTACACGTTATTTGTCCACTGTGGTACATACGCTGGCAGAAATACAAGGACAACATCTACGGGCCCTGGGACGAAGCTGTCATCAAATGAATCTGGGGATTTGGTGTTAAACTAGATATCCAGGTAAAATTTAATCAGTTTTGTATTTTTTTACATCTGTTTTCCGAAGTCGATGGAAATATTCGTCATAATTAACAAGATGTTCTTAAAAAAAACTGGTGTGCTCTCAATTGAAATAACTGGACCGTTGAAGTTACCATTTGATACTGTAAATTGATCACTGAATTATTTATTTATCAATAAAAAACCTCCCAGACAATTGGCAGTAGAATTATATTTTATGGACAGCTATTTTCATCACTTGATGATTATAAATTGTAGTAATCGCTTTATCCTCCTGACCAGAGCCTCGATGAAACTCCTTTCGATTATTGAATATTCGTGTTGGGTGTCCAGCAATTGAGCTATGAAACTGTCACTGAAGACACCGACGAGGCCCTGTTTTAGATCTGTCAAGGTGTCTGGTGATACTCGAAATTCCGAAAAATTATCGTCCAATCCTCCTAAAACAAAATTGATTGTCACTTCAACGAAAACCGAGAGAAAAACTATTTTTTCTCAAACTTGAATTTTTTCATTCCAACTGTCGATATCAACTATCTTTAAAATAAATAGAAATGGCCATTATCGGGGAAACGCCTAAAATGAATAAAAATACCTTGTGCCCTGCTGTACTTGGAGGAAGCATTAGTAGCATAAAAATCTAGATGTGACCACAGTATATAAAGACTGTATTCAACAATCATCGAGCAGTACTTGATACTCTGCCTCTTATCACTGGCTTGTCTCTCAAGTCTCTTCTCAACGACGATCCTCTGCTTATTGGTGTCAAGCTCCATCTCCTCATCGATCAAGTACTTCTTGAGGTCAGTTGAGCTCATCTCGTCGACGAGGGCAGCCCTTTTGATGAGAGTATCGAGGAGAGGGATCTCAGCATGGAGTAATCCAGTGGAAGAAACCAGAATATCCACAAGAGCCCCCAGATTTACTCCACTGCCATCTCTTTTCCCCCCAGATTTTCCCAGAAACGGTTCAAACAAGAGATTCCGGATCTTCTGGTCCATGTGTGTGTGCTGCAACTGATTCCTGGCATACAGCAAAACATTAGCTGTAATCTGGACTGAGGCATGATGCTCAGAATCCTCTCGATTATTCGAATACACGTCGAGGGGTTGAGGATTGAATTTAGGAAGAAGAGCAATTATGAGCTTTTGCAGACGATAGAGATGTGCCCGGAGTTCTCTCATACCCGTGTTATCGATAAGGGATACGTCTGTTATCATGTCCTTTCCCAATTCCTCCTCCACGAGCTGATACATATCGATATTAGCTGATCTCGCAATGACACCAGTCAAACAAGCGACTTCCTTCAGGAAGAGATCATTAGCACGAGGTCCCACGTTCCTCAGAATCATCTCCACAGTGTCTCGGTGGCTCTGGAGGAAGCCACACACCTGGACAGCGCAGGATTGGTTCTCAGTTCCCAGAGTCGTGAGGAGGGCGTCGCACAGATAGAGGGCAGGGAGAAATATCTGCTGGTAACGCTGGCCAATCGATGGAAGGAATGATACTTCACTGGCGTCAAAACCTACGTGAACGTCTGGATGTTGATCGAAGACACACATGCTGGAGAGACAGGAGAGGACTTTGTTCTCCAGGAGATTCTCAGCCCCTAATCTCGTTGATGCCATTCTGCAGAAGGTCGCCATTTTTGCTTCGTAGAGGTAGAGTGGTCTCAGAGTGCTTGGATCAGGTTGCAACATGCTCCTCAACAGGTGGTCACTCTCCAGGAGACTATCAATCATATGTTTCAGGTATCCTCTGGAGGATAGGTAGACAATCCAAGAATTGTCAAAATCCAATTCTAGAATTTTGTCCAGGCAGGAGAGGGCGAGCATTTTGCAGACGTCATGTCCTCCAGAGCAATTGTGGCAGACAATATCCATGAGTTTCTCTCCAAATCCATTGATCACCTGGATTGTCGCATATCTATGGGATCTCTCGTGCATGGGAAGTGTTCTGTACAGCGAGCTGTCCAACTGGCTGACGTAGGTATTGTCAGAGGTTCCAGGACGTTCGCCCTTCTCCAGTCCTACCACACAGAGGAAATTTAGAAGGGCTCCATACAGATGAGTGCGAACCTTCTGCGAAGAGGCACCAGAGTTGAGAAGCCACTGAAGAATGTGCCCCAAGATTATTTTAATCGTCGTTGTGTACGAGGGTGACGTTGACGTTTCATTAGTGGCGAATGTGTTCTTGAGATTCACCAGGAGAATCAAAACAGTACCAGATACGAGGGTTTTAATTTCATTGAGAGCCTCACAGGATGTCATCTTTTGCAAGAGATCGTGGGAGAGATTTAGGAGAAGACTCTGTCTCTGGCTAACTGGTAGCTGCTGATTTGTGGCGATGGAGAAGAGAATCTCTGTGGCCTGGCACCAGCCCTCCACGAATTTCACAGTTGCATAGGACAGAGTCTTCGTCTGATTCCTCTTGAGGGCGTAACCCAGGATTGACTGGAGCTCTTGCTGCATTAATTTCCTCTGTGTTGCTGTGGCACTGCTCTGGGTTACTGCCAGTTCCTCTATTATCAATGAGTGAAGCTTCCTGATGTCCACCAACTGGGGACCACCATGGGGCATCACTGGACCACTGCATTTACCCAGAACCATTTCGACTTGGGAAGGATCGAAAAACTCCCAGGATTTTGTGGGCTCCAGCTGCAGTTGAAAGTCGATGTAGTGGAGAAGATCCATGAGGAGCTTCTGGGAGGGAAGAATCTGCTCTCGATCCTGACTTGGATTTCCCACCAGTCTCTGAACTAGACTGTGCTGGAGGGAACCACCAGCCACTCGTAGCTCAACAGCGACAATTTTCAGTAGCCAGGACATGCAGGCCAGCTCTGTTGCCTTATTTTCTCCCTGGAAGGGCAATTTCGACAGGTGTCTCTGGACAAAGTCCTGATTGGTAGCTGTCCTCAGGAATCTAAGTACTGGCACTGATGTTTTGTTGTTCGATGCCAGGGTGTGGAGAAACCAGTAGCAGGCCTCCGTGATTTTCTCCCTTCCCCTCTCAAGTGACTGCTCGAGAATTCCCAGGATTGAATGGAGGCACGTCCTGGGAAAGTCTCTGATACCAGGCTGCTGAATGACTGTCTTCCTTATGTCTTTAGTGATGTCGAAGCCCAAGAGATAGTGAGCCAAGTTGGGTGCTGGTCTATTGATGCTCTGCATCAATAAAAGGAGAATTCTCTCCTTACAATTACCCACAGGTCCCTCTTCGTCGGTCTCCTGGGGGTCCACGTCCGAGTCCAGGCACTCGACGAAACCGTGTCTGATCGTTACCGCAAGTGATGGGATCAGGGTGAAGGTGGATAGTAGCTCTGAGTCAGAACCAGGTTCATTAGCAACACCCTGAATCACTCCAATCGCCACGAATGCGTGTCTCCTCAACCAGGTGTTGTAGGAGACGTACATGGCGACGTTGATCATGTGATCAGGTTCTCCGGTTCTTGAGTTGACCCCCAGCAACAGCCTGGACAGATTTGTCCTCAGTTTGTTGGAGGATGTCGTCACAGCTGACTGCATCTGCATGTAAGGGTACTCGATTTTCAGCCCTCGCTCCAAAATTCTCAGGCAGTTCAACGTGCTGCTCTCCAGGTAAGACTTTCCAGGTATCACCTCGTACGTCTCCAGATGATGTCTCCCCTCGTCTAAGATATATAGAATCACATTGAGGAGCTCTGAGTTAGAGTTCAACTGCGTCATAATGTGATAACCAGGTTCAGGATTGACAGAAACAGACTCTCCACCCTGGAGCTCCACCTTGCACCCAGCAAAGTCCTCAACTTTGGGCTCATACTGGAGAATTAATTTGTGAAAGATTCTGAGACAGGCATCAGCCACCTGCCATTTTTCAGCGGGATTCTTGTAGGATCTCGTGTTGAATCTCAGAAAGACTGTGTTAATGATAAAGTGGAGGTAGGGATCGAAACCAGGATTTCTCTGGCTTGCCCCCAAGAGCCTGGGGATAGGGTAGTCAGTCAGGGCATCGAGGAGCTCCAGCATTGCCCTGGTGAGTGGATACTCCTCGTTTCTTGATTCAATCTCCTCTAATTCTGTCTGGACACCTCGTGGCTGGTAGCTACTGGTTGTGGGAATAGTGCAGAGGATCTGAGCAGCTTCCAGGCTCTGCCATATACTGGAGGAGCTCTCTGGGGATTTTGAAAGAACTGCCAGGGTGCGCACCAGGACACCTTTAAGAGGAATGGGCATGGCACAACCGACGAGTCCAATGAGAAGAGGTAGCACCTTCCATCCTGGATGATCGCATATTGCTATCCTCGACATCTCGTCGAATTTGGCTACCACCTGAACGACATTTAGCACAGCTTCGAGGCGTTTAACTTCTTGGGGAGTGATCCCCTTGGGGTGACTTCGTTGTCTGTAGATCGTGTCCTGACTCGGTGGCAGCTCCTGACGAAGATTGTAGTAGTAAAGACATAGAGAATTAAAGAAGTGATCCCACGATATCGTCGAGCCAGTGGATCCATTGGGCTTTAGGAAATTGAAGGCGTGTCTGGCAGCTTGTGATGATGACGCCAAAGCCGCTATCATCCTCAGGTAGGGTACAAGAAGTCCAGCTGGGAGAATTTCCCCAGCCAGCCTGACGAATTTGAAGAGGGCCACCTGTCTCGAGGGCAGTCTATTAACGTGAACAGATGACACGTGAGTCCTCTCTCCCTCTTGGCACCAGTACTCCACCACCAGGTTGAGATTCAAGGGATCCTTGTGGTACAGCTCAGCAATCATTAGCATGAGATACTCGAAATGATCGTCCAAGTTGCCAGGGGGTTCCACTCCCTCTCTCTGATATGCCTCGATGAATCTCATGGACTCGTCAGCTCGACTCCTCAGTTCTTTTATTTTTAGGGGCATGAGGGCAATGAAGTCTGAGATAAATCTGTGAAAATAACGAACGTAGAACTCCTCGTTGTGAAGATCTCCACTCTTGAAGATCGTGTTGGACATAAAGTGGAAGACTCTGTTGGAGAGGGCTGCCTCAAGCAAGATCTCGTCCTCATTGGTGATGCTCTGTGACGAGAGATTGGAGGCTGATTTCAAGGTGGTGATGGCCAGGGCGAGGGCAAATTGCACGAGGCCACGAAGTCCCTGGTTCTCCCAAGTGGAGTTGTTGTTCAGAAGCTCTTGGATCAGTTCCTCGATGGCACCTCGTTGAGAAATAATGGACATTGTTTTTATTATTTCTTCACCGTCTTCTCGGCTGTGCAGGGCACTGAGGTTCAGAGTATTTAAGAGGGCCATTATAAGGGCGAGGGTGATCTTATCAGGAGCTCCAGTGCCAGACTCTGATTCGGGATTCTTTCGTTGAAGGAGACAGATGAGACGGTGAGTTATGGGCATTGGGAGGGACGACTGGGATGACCAGAGGTAGAGAATATCAGCGAGGTCTTGTCTTGCGTCGTTGTACAGCTTCATCACCATGTCATGATGCTTAGGACCGCCCAGGGCTCGATTCTGCTGGAGAAGCTCCTGCTCCTGCGTGGGGTCCAACTCCTCCAGGAGGGAGAGAATTCGATCCAGAAGTCCGTCCTCCTGCATTTTATTCGTGTACTCTGTTATCTTCTTGGTAAGCGTCACTGGTGTGTCCAGGACCCAGCTGTGACCTATCCTCGCGTAGACGAGGGTTCGCAGAGCTGAGGTCAAGGCTTTTCGACCGTCGTAGTACAGTAGAATTGCTGTCAGGCCTCTGGTCAGTCCTGGATGATAGGGCATCTGCAGCTGCGCTGTACACAATAGATCTAGGGCCATGAACTCGTTCAGGTCGTACATGTTGGAGATTATTATCGTTTCATCAACGAGCTCCTTTGGGAGCACTCGGTGTCCTAGGCCTGGCAGTGTCACCCCCTCCGTTATTCCTTTTTCTACTTCTTCTCGGGTTTTCGCGTTCTTTGGAGGATTTTTCATGAGTGTCAAAAAATTTTGCCGATGATTCCTCAGTGTCTCCATGAACTCGTGATACTGTGGATCCTGAGCACCTGATGATAACAATACGTACTGCTCCACAATATTCTGGAGCTCCTTGTAGGGAGTCCAGCAGTCCTCTGCAGTAGATTTTTCTGGCAAAACGAAAAACCAAAAAATTAATCATTAATAAGTAAATCGAAACGCAAATAAACGTGAGGACTCATTTATTTCCTGAATTAATTGAGGTTATGAGTAGAGAATTGTAGCTCAAAAAGCGAAATAGACATACCTTCTGCCATTTTCCAAATTTATTAGGTGACTTTAATGATCATGAGTCACTTGGGTGATTATTTTTATTCCAAAATATCCAAAGTATTTATTTCAAATACATTTTCCAATGCACTCAATGGTAAACGAATGGAGGAAGTGCACAAATGGCGGGAGAAGAAAACCGGCTTGACACAATCACGTGGCGTCATCTTCCATCGAAATTAACAGCTGGAAAATTCAATATGGCCGTTGAGTTTAATGACAGGCGGTTTTCAGAAGCTGCAGGGTTAGGTGCTGAATATCTCGCCCATTCGTCTCCTTCAGAATAGAAAATTGAGTAAAAATGGAGTGTCTAATTGGAATTCAATTCAGGGATTTTGTTCTCGTCGCTGCGGACATGACGACAGCACAATCAATAATGGTGATGAAAACTGGTGAGCAATTTTTTTTACAATTCATCAATGCATGCATCGACAGTAATTGGATATTTAATTTAATGATTTGACTGAAAGAATCAATCCAATTTGATAATCGAATCATCCGAATGACATCTAGATGAGCACAAGATCCACAAGATCTCGGACAAGCTGGTGATGGCTGTCTCTGGTGAGCAAGGAGATGCCACACAGTTCTCAGAGTTCATTGGGAAGAACATTCAGCTGTACAAAATGAGGAATGGCTATGAACTGTCGCCCAAAGCAGCAGCCACCTTTACTAGAAGAAAGTTAGCGGATTATCTAAGGTCTAGGACACCTTATCACGTTAATTTGCTGATGGCTGGATACGATGATGAGACTGGGCCTGAGCTGTTCTTCATTGATTATTTGGCTTCGTGTGTCAAGGCACCTTATGCCTGTCACGGGTACGGAGGATTCTTCTCCCTGACAATTCTGGACAGATATCATCGTTACGGTGAGATATTTATGTAGATATGTATTAATACAATTTTTTGAGGTAAAATTGTGCTGATAAATAATTTTATTTCAATCAAGAAATGTGTTCACGTCCTTGCATCGAAGATAAATCATAGGATTTCTCTTGTAAAAAACATCAACACCTCGAGATATTTGTATATATTTTTTCCTGCAGATATGAATGAAGAGCAAGCCTATGACCTCCTGAAGAAATGCGTGTCAGAGGTGCACAAACGTCTGATCGTCAATCTTCCTAATTTCAAAGTCCAGAAGATCACAAAAGACGGTATCGTCAATTTACCTCCTGTAACCGCTCAGGACTTGGCCGTCGAACGTGCCGCCAGAGGATAAACAGTTTAATATTTCTTGTTCATGATTCTGAATTTCGTAATTATCTAAAGCTTATTAATTTTCAATAAACACTCTTTGGAATAATAAATAAAAGGTACACATTGATTTTCCACAGACAAAATTCCTGTATTTCGAAAAAATTCTGATCAGATTCACAAAAGAAAAATGGATCTCGTAATTTACATTGACGACAGGAATTCGGTAATTATTTTTATCTTAGCATTAGTCGTCGGGAAGATTGATTTTATTGTATTCTTCGTGTCACTAATGCAGTTACATCATTGTGCGATATTATAATTCGGAAAAATCACCCCTCAATGGAATATTGGAATGATAGCAATGAAATTTCGATGGTTTTGACATTTGGCGAATTCATAAAAAAAAATAATGAGCTTAGATAAGTTCGACGGTTATCTAGTGGTAGTCAGATGATTTGAACTCCCACAGAGTAACGAGCCATAGTCGATGTACAGTAAAAATTATAGAATCTCATAGGCGAGTTCCATCGTTGACTCAGGAATAATTCGGTAACAATAATAAAGAATCTAAAATAGAAATTATGCTCTATTTTTCGTTAGACCATGGAAATATTCTCAAGTCAATGATATTTCTCTCCACGACGAGTGCCACATTATGCTTATGATCTGAAAATCCGTGCGAGTACGAGGGAAAAACTCACATTAATTACACAACTCATTTACTAAAATCCTGAGTGTTTCAGAATTCCCAAATGAGAAATTTCTATGAATTAGAACTGATGCAGTCAAACGTCGAAGGACAAGGGGTTTAGTCTGTGAAAAAAATCAGATCGATCTGAAATTTCCATGGAATGTTCATTCAAACGTTTAGACTCTTAATTTCTCGAGAATATTTTGGATTGATGACAAATAAATCCGTAAATTCGACAAAAAATCAAAGACAATTCAAATGTTTTCATAAATATTCCATATAAATTTCAGATTGATGTAATTTATCATTTTTCAACGAAAATCCTTCATACAAACTTCCAGAGACATCAGTTCAAATTTAAACGAGAATTCCCCCTACCCACCCCCTATGATACACTGATAAAAATTGACAAATCGTCAGTCCCCATCTCAACCTACTGCCAGAGAAAAGCGACACAAAATAGTCACGTCGAACATTAAAGAATCCCTAATCCAGAAAAGGAAGAAATGATGAAGCGAGAGAAGTACAATTTTAGTTCCACTAAATATCGATAGATCTAAAAAACGATTCATTCTACGAGGAAATACCAAGAGACCTTTTCCATCGAAAATTCAATTACTCACAAAAAAGTCCCTTAGTATTCCCACCCTACATCGATATTTTTCCCCTTAAAGTCTCGTCTCACTTTACCACCCCATCACTGAATTATTCCATTTAATTTTATCATTGGAAAAAAATCTCGTCCTTTATGTCCTCTTTTCCATGAGCTTGGCAGTGTGCCAAAATTAATAATTGATTCACTAGGACTGATGTTCCTCGGAAAAATTCTTCGTCGTCCAATTATTTAAATAAACTTCTTCCGCGATCTATTTATCCTTCTTGACCTCGGCTTGAACCTCTGTCTGGAGATTTTCGTTGTCCGAGGGATGGTCCTCATATGTGAATAACTTCCTGATATCTCCCTTGACGAGGGCCACGAGCAAGGGAGTGCCAATACACGCTGGCACCAGGTACAGGAGGGCTGGCTGAGCGTGATTGAACACGAACATCACCAGCATCGTTGCTATTAGTCCCATGAAGTAAGCGAAAAAAGTTGTGTAGAAGTACGCATTTGTTTTTCGTCCGAGGCTGTGATCAAACCTCAGCAATAGGGCGATAAAAATACCAGGGACGACGATGTCACCGAGCCCAAGCATCGCAAATTTCTCAGCCTTGAGGCCCTGCTCTAGTAGATCCTGAGGGAATACCACTTTTATGGGAGCCTCGAATGACTTTGCCACTGTCACCATCACATTTGTACCAAACACCCAGAAGATGTCGTATACGAAGAGACCTCCCAGCAAAATACACCCGGTTACTATGTTGTTTAGGTGCAGAAGCTCTACTGCATTTATTGCGAAGGCTATTCCGAATAAATTATTCGCTACCCAGTGCTGAAAGGGTTTTTCATAAAAATTTATTAGAAGAAATTTCATTAGAGGGGTCCATGGAGCTCGATGTTCAATAGAAAATGTAGACAATCATTGGAGAGGAGGAAAAAAATAGAAATGAATTCACCGTTATGGTCTTGGCTAGAAAATGATTTATGGCATAGGGTGGGGGGTTTAGTTACCTTCTGGAGGAGATACCACACTCCAATCATTGAGCAGCAAATCAGACACACGATGTCGTGAAGATTAAATGTATAGTTTATGATATCTTCGATTTTATCACCTTCGCCTGAGGTAAATCGTATTCGATACGGTGTTTTTGGAATGACTGCAGGTACCAGAGATGATATAATTGGACTGAAAAGAAATATAAATATGTTTCATTGGATTTTAAAGATTTTTAAGTGTTTGTACTGCTTTATGAGGATTTTGGTACCTCGTGAGATGACAGAGGGCTAGAACTCCCAGGAAAAAGAAGTACCCCGTTAATAGTAGATTGATGTAGTCCTTTGAGAATATCTGCAACAATCAATCATTCGATATATCTTGGGTTTCTCGAGGGAATGACCTCGAGGATACTCACTTGAAGAATTACGTACAATCCGAAGAGTGCACAACTCGAGATGAGGGGAAACATCGCTGCATCTCGGTGGGTCATGGTCTCTGGCTTTTTCCCACTCGTCTCAAATTTTTGCTAAACAAAGTTATGGATTATCATGATTAGAAAAGTTCAAGGAGGAAGATCTAAGATTTTCTATGAAAGATAAAGAAACACTGGATTTTTTATTCAAGTTAACATTCAAGTTCAGCTGGGATCCTCCGAGTATTTACAATGATTTTTTTCGAATTTTTCGTAAAGAACTTAAACGGGTAAGCCTAAGGCAACAACTCAAAGCTGGGAATTTCGGCAATGCCTCAACGAATGAATAACTTGGAGCAACAATAAAATCACAGGAAAATTCTGGAAAACAATGGGAAGTAATGCTAATTCCCTATTAACAACTCCATTCCATATGGTAATAATGGGATTGTTGTTGAACAGCGGTAACATCTAACCTGCTGTTCCTTCTGATGTTTAACCGATCGAAAGCTTCCCAGGAAAATCGGCAGGATCGCCATGATAACGAGACTGCCATAAGCCAGGATCATGCCCTCCGGCGATGCTGGCTTGTGTGTTGCCGTTTTATTAACATTTTCCACAATACTGTCGTTAACATCTGACACTGCCTGATTCACCGCACCTTCCATCTTGCTATGACCCTGTTAACTGACACCAAATAGCACTCGTCAATGTGTGATTGTCTCTTCTCCAGAGGGGTCTGTACGTACAGCTGGGTTTTCAAGGCTTGGTCTTCCTCTTACTTCTCAGTACAGACCACGGAGAAACAGGGAATCCACTTGTCCTATCGTAACACGTATTGCATGGGCACGTGGATTTTGTATACGTCTACAAGGAATTTTCGTCGCGAGAGGGAGGTAACATATGAATAATAACCTCTTAACCGATTGATGGTATAAAAAACAAATTGTTCATTATTTTTTAACTCAAGTCACTATATTCCAGAAAACCCCTTTTCAGCTTCATGATTAATTAATTCATTAAAAGTTTTGATTTATCCATCACGCTAGTTTCTTCCTCAGTTTCTCGTTCAATTATCATTTTTTACCAATAGAAAATTGTTTTTCATTGGTGCTGACATAAAATAATTGACAATTTTATAATTCATTGATTAGGAAGTTTTTTCCTGTTTATTTATGGCATTTTGAGGTTTCCATTGGTTACTGGGATGATCTCCTGGTTTCAATCATAATTTTTGGGAAGTGGAGGTCGAAGGATTGACCTGGAGAGTATCAATGGCCTCGCCGGCACCCAAATCACCGGAGCAGTCGGAGAAGAATCGAAAATATGACAGACAATTGAGGTAATTGGAAATTGAGGGCCTTCTGAGGATCGAGTCTTGCGTTTTGAGGGTTTGAAGAGGATTTAGACAGGTGATGATAAGGTGGAGATTTTTTCAGGTTATGGGGAGACCATGGACAGGTTGCCCTGGAGGCAGCCCACATCTGTCTTATCAATGCCACTGGCCTTGGAACAGAAATTCTGAAGAGTCTCGTTCTACCTGGCATTGGAGCTTTTACAATTGTCGATGGGAAGAAAGTCAGTCAGGAAGACATTGGGGCGAATTTCTTCCTCGACGCAGATAGTGTGGGAAAATCCCGAGCTCAGGTTGCGACACAACTGTTGGTGGAGCTCAACCAAGATGTTCGGGGTGACTACATCGACGAGGGTCCAGAGGAGATTCTCTACAACAGCCCTGACTTCTTCAACAGCTTCACAGTGGTAGTGGCAACAGCCCTGCCCGAAAAATTTCTGATCCATCTCTCGAAGAAGCTCTTTGACCTGAACATTCCCCTGATCGTGTGCCAGAGCATTGGTTTCATCGGCTACATGAGGATTCAAACGCAAGAACACACGATAATCGAGACTCACCCAGACAACGAGCTCCCAGATCTGCGTCTGGACAGACCATTCGAGAGCCTCAAGCAGCACATGGACTCCATAAATCTGGAGGAAATGGACCTGAAGGACCATTCGCACACACCTTACGTCGTCATCCTATACAAGTACTTGGAGAAGTGGATCCAAGAGAGAGGAAGTCCACCAGAAAACTACAGAGAGAAGACTCAGTTGAGAGACAAAATAAAGCATGGGATACGAAAGGATGAGAATGGAATTCCCCTCGATGAGGAGAACTTCGAGGAGGCAATCAGGGCTGTCAACACTAGCATAGGGCACACAACTGTCCCCAAGAGTGTCCTAGAAATCCTCAATGACGATCGATGTGTCAATCTCACTGCCAAGAGCACCTCCTTCTGGATCATTGCCAGGGCTATCAGGGATTTCATGGAGAACGAGGGCTGTGGATTACTTCCTGTTAAGGGGGCTCTTCCTGACATGACTGCTGACACCGAGAAGTACATCGCTCTATCTCAAATGTAATTTCATTATTTTCTCGTGCTAATATTCTCGAAACTACTGAATTTAGAGAGATCTTCAAAGGAACTTTTTTTCAGCCCATGAAATTCTCTACAAAAAAATCCTGTGACATTTTTTTCTAAACCCAGTAGTTTTCGAGATATCTACGCAATAAATCGAAAATTATTTTCGGTTCGTAATGCAAACTGCAATTTCTCTAAAATGAAACCTCTAATATCTCAAAATCTATTGAAGATGGAAGAAACTATAAAGATACCTTTTTTGTCAGAAATTTAATCAGTCACAAAAAAGTCCCACCCAGTTTCCCCCTGAAACCGTTAGTTTTCCAGATAATTAATCATTTACTTGTTCCAGTTACCATAAACAAGCAGTGAGTGACGTGGAAGCTGTCTGGCGTCACACAATTCGCCTCCTCCGGCAGTTGGGTCGTTCCTCAGACTCGATCCCCGAGAAAGATGTCAAATTATTCTGTCGCTATGCCTCTGACATCCACGTGGAGCGAGGGACATCGATAGCAGACGAGTACGACCCAAAAACGATAAATGCCAACGACATTGCTGAGAGCCTGGAGAACCCTGAGAGCATGATGGTGTACTACGTTGTTCTGAGGGGACTACAGAGATTCCAAGTAGAGTACAACTCGCACCCTGGAGAATTCGACGACCACGTGGAGCCCGACATCGTTAAACTAAAAGCCTGCATATCGAAATTACTAGGAGAATGGGGATGTGGACCACTGGCCAAGGACGACTACGTCCACGAATTCTGTAGATTCGGAGGGGCTGAGTTGCACTCGGTCTCGGCCTTCCTGGGAGGTCTAGCTGCTCAGGAGATCATCAAGTTCATCACGTCACAGTACAAACCGATTCACAATACTTTTATTCACGATGCTGTCACTTCCAACTCGGCTACCTTCTTTTTCTGAGGTCTTTTGAGGTAGACGATAGTTCTGTCTTTTTTTATACTCCCAAGGGTGCCGGGAATCCGTTGATTCAGTGTCCTCATTGTTTACAGATCGTACTTGTGAAATAAATTAATCAAACTAGTGGTTAGGAGGAAGTTTTTGGTGAATATCTCTTAATCTGAGTGAGATAGCCCAGTATTTTGTGCGAACTTTTTTGTGAACCTCATTTCACTCTATTAACAAAATTCTGGGAAAAATTGCGGTGTATCAACTAGATTCAGAAACTATCATCAACTCTACGTTAATGACGATAATAAAATGTAAAAACGTTTGTTGTAGTTGAAATCTGTATTTTCTTGCCTCAAGTTTAAGCCTAATTACTTCAGTAAGTTTGTGTAGTTTAACTTAAGATTAGATGAATTGAAAAGCCACTGTTTGTGACATTGGGGGATCTCTTTGGGATTACGATTATCGTCGACCCCGACCCCTGCCACGTCCACCCCGACCTCCACGTGCACCACGACCACCACGTCCTCGTCCTCGAGCTGCACCCCTCGCTGCCTCCTTCTTTTTTGCTTTTGCCTTTGGAGTGTCGTCTATGAGAAGTGTCTCCAGAGGCAGAGAGTCCGGAAGAATATAGTACCTTATATTATTTCCACGAAGGCTCAGTGTGTCCAGCTGCACTGGGTCACGATTTTTTATCGTCATTTTAACAGTTTTCAGGTGAGTATTCATTGCCACGTCCACTCCTGCAATTATTCATATTTATTTAATTAATAATTAATTTTTATTCATTTCACAGGAAGTTTTTCATTTTCAAAAATGCCTTCTTTCAATAATTCTTTATACTAAATCGAATTGAGTTTAATGGAGACCATTGAAATTATTTATCACACCCCAAACAATAATTTGAGGTTAAATTCACTCACCGGTGATAGTTCCATGAACCTGAGTCCCATTTTTCAATTCGATCGTTACAGTCTCATGACTGAGCTTCATCAGAAATCTAGAACACACGGGAAATTTTACAATAAACAATTCTCACTACGAAAATGGAAAAACCCTGAGTATTAGAGGTTAAAGCGTCCCGGCATCGTTTGTTTACATCTCACACTCAAATCGGAGTAGAAGCTAAATAACAATAGAAACGTGTAATAGAGCAATGAATCCCAATTATTTACCTCACTAGCTTCATTTTTATCTGCAAAAACTTGGAAACAATGAGTCACTTTTGGAGGATTTGTAATTTAGTCTATCGTTTGAGCTGTTGGTTTCAGTGGTTCCAGCACAGATTATAGATTACCAGAATCTATATCAGAACCTCAAAATTTTAGTACCGACCCTAGGACAAGGAGGGCTAATCCACCTGAAGGCAAAAAAAGCGATAGTGTCGCCATCCGTCCACTGAGGGGACATCCCCGACGGTTTTGACTCTGACAAACTCCCAGAGTTGATCTTCTACTCCAGTCAATTCTCTTCGTCGAAACCGTCAAGTCGAGACTTGTTCCTCGTGTTTTGTAAACAAAGAGTGGAAGAATCTAACCAAATTCAGTCTCGCGTGGGAATCGGATCTTCAATCGGTTTATTATTTTGTTCTGTCTTCATATCTCATCATGGGAAAACGCAAAGGTAATTAAAATGCTTACACCAAAAAATGTTATTATTATCAAACCGCAATTCACAAAATCTCTTTGAATCCTTATCTTAATTAATCGTGCTTAATATTTTAATTAGTTCCTCAGAGACGAACAACAGCCAAAAGGAGAAAGAAGGTGATTGCAGTGCCTGAGCCGATACCTGACTTGATAAACAATTTGAATGATGATTGTTTAGGAAGAATTTTCAAATACCTGTCGATTGCAGAGCGTCTAATGATGGACAGAGGTGACTGATAAAAAAAATCTGATAAAATTCAATCCACTAAAATGATGAGATCTACGTTCTTCAATTGAAAGTGCATCTCCTTTATTTTCTGTTTGTATTGCTTCAATGAATTTCTGTGAGTCCTATCAAAATCGGTATTGATATCTCGTATTTTCCTCTCTAACCACTCGAATTTCAGTTTGCAAACGATGGAGAGACGTTTCCCACCTCTCCTGGGAGGACACAAAGTTCCTGAACTTCACGACATCCGTCCAAAAAAGTACAGACTTGTACAGGCTTCCCAGCGAGCTGAGAACGAATCGAGTGATAGGGAGAATCCTGAAGAAATGCGGCCACTACCTCAGGAGATTGAGGCTGGGGTACCCTTGTCAATTCGACATTCTCCAAATTGTGGAGAAACACTGCGATAACTTGATAAGACTCGAGGTGAATTTCTACGATCGTAAGGATTGCGTGAAATACTTCCCTCGAATAGAGAAACTCAAGTATTACCAGATGGGAGCCCTGAGGTTCTTCCCCAGGGAAGCTCTCCAGGTCTTGCCTTCAGAGAGCCTGACTGAGATTCACCTCTGGACATACACCACAGACACTCTGGGTTATGCCCTTGGATCTTTGCCTCGTATCGCTTCAACCGTGAGTATTTCTCCTGTTCCTTTAATGAAATAAATATCAGATTTTGAAAAATACATTTTTTTTTTGCAGACGTTCGAGAATTTGAGAAACCTTTCGGCAATCAGTCTTCACGGTTTCGATCTAAAACCAGATGTAATGGACGTCATCTGTCAGAAAACTAATCTCCAGTATCTCTCACTGAAGTGCTCTCGCCTGAGGGCAGGACTCTCCTGTCTGACTCAACTGAAACCCCTGAGGTCTCTTGATTTAACAGCAGTAGAGGGGATCAACGATCTCTTCCTCGGGGAGCTCGCGGACAATTGCAAAAACCTAGGACACCTGAATCTCACTCTCTGCTGTGGTGTCACAGACAGAGGTATAACGAGCCTCAGGAATCTTCCCCTTCTTCAACAACTCGTGTTGAATCACGTGGACTCTGTGACAGATGCTCCTCTCAGTGCGCTGCACACGTTGAAAAAACTCGAGTGCCTTCTGTGCAAAAGGGTGAAGGATGAGGGGATCGTTACGCTCATGAAAAATGCTATCAGCTTGGAGTACTTGAATGTCGTTTTCTCGGGGGTCACTCGGAGGGTGCTTGATGAGGCTCATAAAATCTCTCACAAGACGGATAACTTCGGGCTGGTTCTCATCATCAATGATCATTCGCAGGCGCCCGAGGGTCATTATGAGTATCCCTGTCTTGCTGTCAACTTTACTGAGAGAACCCACGTCTACCTGGAATTCTCTATTTCTCGTTGATTTTTTCGAGGAAACTTCATTCTAAATTTCTCACTATATCATCCCTCATTCAACTTTACTTTTACTTTTTTCATATAAGTACATATTTTTTTATATTGAAGATCTACTATTATCTAGCTAAAATGTCTATTTTTATGAACACGAGGATGGAAGAATAAAATGTACTATAATGCGCTCATAATTTTGTGGGTCATTTCTCGGGTTAAGATTACTTTTACAGGCAAGGGGAAGAGGGTAAATGATTCCAAAGCTTCTAACTAAATATAGCCGCTATTTTGGGTCAATTCGTCTAATTAAATTTTGTGGTGAATTGTTGGGTAATTTTTTTGGGTCATTTCTATTCTTGAAATTACTTTCACAGGCAAATCGGAAAAGGGGAAGAAGGGGTAAACGGTTGTAAAACTTCTAAACATTCTAAATAAATATAGCCGCCATTTTCAGTTAATTCGTTGAATGAAATTTTGTGGTGAATTTTTGGGTAATTTTTGTGGGTCATTTCTAGGGTTAAAATTACTTTCACAGGAAAAGGGGGGAAAGGGTAAATGATTCCAAAGCATCTAAAGAAAGATATCCCACATTACTCCCCACCCCGCACTCGCGTCACGTGTTCACCTCCCCCCTTCCCTCTGACCGTCGCGATAGTAGCGCCACCCCCTCCCCACTCCGCGAAAAATATTGCGGCGAATGAGCAGTTGGTCAGCAGCTCGCTCTACCCCTCGGTTCTCGCATTTGCGGAATGATATTTCAATATGGCAACCGTAGTAACGTCTGCACGAGTCGGTGTGTCGGAAATGTTTTGATTCCGTTGACAAATCGCGACGGCCGGTCGACGTATCGCACATAGGTTAGTACACCCTGATAAAAACAACGGTAATCCCGTAGCTGTCACTCAGATTAAAATAATTACCAGTTAAATATTAACCCTAAAATCAGAATAGTCATATTATCACTGGATGAAAATAAAACGAAATGGCAATTTTCTGGGTGTTTGGGGCTCGAGTGGATAATTGGGTAAATTCGTGGTTGACAGGACCTGGGGGATGATTCAGGACCTGGGAGGGTAATCGTGATCCCCAGTGCCCCTCCAGGGTACACGTAGGGGGACACCATTTAGTTGGCTTTACCAGAGGTGCATTTCGGCGTTTTGTGGGATAAATGTCTGGTATTTTATTAAATCCTCGGGTTTTCTACTGGTGAAGTAATCGTGTTGCGTCACGAATTACTGGTGACGTATATTTAGAGTCTAGTTTTTGTTTGGAGGGAGAAGTATCTGGTGATGATTTTTTGAGGATTTTGGGGTGATGTGTTTGGGTTTGGGATGGGGGTAATGGGGAGAATGGGGTGATTTTTCAGGGGTTGGTTTTTTTATTTTTATTTGCGGGAGAGAATGAAATGTGTGATTGTTTATGTGTGATTGGGATGCTGTGGGGCGATGAAATATTGGAGGACAACAAAACATTGAAACAACGTGGGATGTGTCACTTGGAGGAACAACCCTCGAGGACTGTAACTACCCCTTGGAACAACCCCCAGCCACCGGTGAGTCGTCAATCTTGGTTTATTATTTATTACCTATCGTTGATAGCTGATAGATTTATTAAATAAGGGTGACCTGGGGAAATACGGGCCAGGGGTTACTTTACACATTGAATTTTTACATGGTCGAGGAAAATTCATCTCTTTCACTGGGGATTGCTTCAGATCGGCTGAGTAGAATTTAACGATTTTTCTTTTCATTTCCGTGGATTTTTCCAAGCTCTCAAATGAGCAATGATTTTTCAAAATCGCATCACTTGGGTAGGAGATATCGAAGATTTAAGGTGATTTGTCACGGAAGTTCTTCACATTCAAGGACGAAACAGACGTCTTTACGAGTTTCTTTTGCTGGTCTCATCCAGATATATTTTTTTCTATTCCTCCCACTGGTTATTCTCCATCCCCTTGGTGTAACTACTATTAAACACTATTGTCTCGTTATCTGTATTTCGAAGGTTGTGTGGGTAGACAACTCGTTGGAACAATATTTCCCTCGTTGTGATGGAACTGCAACTTTTCTATTATTTCAAATGTGGGATTTAAAAATATTTGTTTAGAGGTTGGAGGTGGGGGGAGGTGGATTTATTTACCATTTCGAGGAAATCGGAAACGTTGAATTGTCGCGTGACATGTGTTTGGTATCTCAAATACTCGTGTGTCTTTCCGGTAATCGCCCTCTCGCCATTCATCCGGTATATCCAATGTCATTCACTAATTGAGGATATTGCGTAGGTTTTTCTTATCTGGGGATATTTGAGCCGTGATTGAGAGGTGATAAGCTTGAGGAAGTGATGGAAACTATGCAGTCCAATTAGGGATGTGTGGGGGGGGAGGTAAACAAGTCCATAACTTTTTTGTTTTTTTTTATAACATAATATAATATAATATTTGTCTATAATATAATTTATATTTTTCTATGAAAATTATCTGGGAATGATTTTTCTTTTTGGGAATTGGAAAATTGAAAATATTGGAATTTATTTTGGAATATTTTTGAGAATAGGCGGAAAATCGAGGTAATGATTAAGTTTTTGATTCAATTATTTCGTGAAAATTCGGAAATTTTTTGGGGCATTCCCACTGAACGTTATGACGATTTTTCCTGTAAATCCGAGTAAATATGAGAATTACTCCCATATTTTCTGTGAAATTTCTGGAAAATTCTAACGGCGTAGAGGATGATTTATTGGCGTCCCTTTGAGTATTTATTTAATTTTCATTCCATGTAGGATGATTAATCATCCGGGTTTATTTATCATCCCTTCCTCTGGGGTTTTCTGGGTAAGAACCATATCTTGGAGGTACGAGAGGTTCTCAGGCGTGTTTACTCGTACTTGGCACGAATTGAATTTCCACAAGGAGAATAAATTAACGGCGTGCGACCACGCGAGCTAACGAGCGCGTCGAGTGATCCTTCCACACCCACAACTTCAGCTTTCCATGTGACACTTTTTCTACACGAGACATTCCCTAAATTAATTAATGGTTAAATACCTCAGTAAATTTTAGGAAAAATTCTGGTGTGAAACAATTATTACTTATCACAACAAAACCATGGCTTCGCCAACTCATTTTTCTTCGCGGATTAAATATGTTTCGCACAATTATTCGCTAAATCCGGGGTACTGACGAGGATATCGTCTCAATGTTTTCAATACATTCAACCGCTGTTATACTATTGCCTTTTTGATTAGTTCCCGGAGTCACACGAATTTTCACATAACAATCAACTTCTTGATTGAACAAATTGCGTGTTTGTTGTATCGTTGACATTCGTCAAAGCAAAAAACATCATTGTTATAGATATTCAATTAAAATATGTTGTGTAAAACTTTGAAAGCAGCATAGATGATTTCAATTATTCCCTTAAAGTCTCATAATTCCGAGGCTGAAGAGTACTTTTCATTAATAGTAATTCAATAAATCAGCATTCAGCACTATTTTCGATAAACTTGAGAATTCATTTACCCTGAGATTTTTTCTGGTCGGCAAACATATTTTCTCATTCTCATATTTGATTTTCTTTTATTGCGGAATTTTGGTGTTTATTCTGTTTTTTTTTCTGATCGTCAACCTCTCTTATCACAGAAACTTGCCAAAACTCGACACGCAGATTTAAACGCTTCCCTCGAAACTTCGTAATTCACTTTTCATGCCAGAATCGCCGGATCGAGATCCCGAAAAAGTATAATTAAAACCACAACATTTTGTTATAAATATTTTCTACTCACGCCTTCGTAATCCGTCGATTACTCCGTCAACTACCGACAAAACTAGATAATTTACTTAAACCCACGGTTTCATCTTTATTCTCAGCAATACTTACTGTTCAGTATTTTTAAAAATACTTTACTTACTAAATACTGAAATATTTAGGATTGTAGATAGAAGGATAGACAATAGCGAAACCTGAAATAATTGATGATTTGAGATTTAACCAGTGGACGAGATCCAACATTTTTAATAATGCAGAAAGATTTTTAATAACCGGAGTTACGCCCTCGGCTCGTGTTGTCATTTTTCTAATTATTTTAATTGTTGGTAATTAGGATGGACGTGTTGGAATCACGCAATGAGTAAAAGCTGGAGTTGGATTAATATTCAGGCGGTGTAATTTATTCTCTTGAAGAGCTAGGAAACTTTCCCGGAGACGAGAATCGGGATTTTTACTTTTCGTGGGGTAAAGTGGGAATGTCAGGGCTCGTGGGGGTCTAATGGGTTGACGTAGAGGACGGATATCTGGGAAAAACATCTTATCTGCGAGGGTTACGAGTAAGGGAGGGATTTAGATGTCTACGGGGAATTGAGAAAAATTTAATTTCTTTAATCTCTACCCCGAGATTCGACGATTCGACTTGAATGGGAGTCTAGTCATCTTGAGGAAAGGAAAATCTCGGGAAAATGGTGAAATAATCGGAAAATTTTACTCAGCCAAAGCTGAGATACAATGGAAAATTGTGGAATTTTTTATGGAATTCTTGGGGATTCTGGAATTGAAAATTCTGTGAATTCGTGGAAAACTCCGGGAATTAAGAATTGATGAAAAATGAAGAAAATTTATGGGATTGAGGAAAATTCGAAATAAAAAAATCGATGGAATTTCGGCTTTCCCATTTCACAGGAATTCGGTGGGGAATTTTTTGGAAAAATCTAGATTGCCCTGGAATTTCCAGAAATTCCAGAATCTTCCATGAAAGTGATGGAATTGCAGGGGAGCATGTAATAAATTTTCAATTCCTTGAAAATTAGCGGCCATTTGACATTGACGGACACTTCAATTTTGCTGTTAGGAATTCATGGAAATTTCGGAATTTCCATGCAATTTCCACCTGTAAAATCACAATAATTCCGGTAACAATGACTTGATTTTTTTTTCAACAGAAAATTCTTTTTTCACCTCATTGAAATGCCCTTGAAATGACAATGTCGCATGTCCCGATCTCTCCCACCCCAGGACATCCGGTGAAAGGGAAAGCTAGAAACGAGGGGAAAATTCGGGGGGAGAGAAAAATCTATGAAACGTGTTGCTATAAACGCAATGAAATATTCCACGATTCGAAAATAAAAAATCACGGTAGAATTCTGTCCTTCAACAAATTGCCCTGAACTCCTATTAAAAATTGAATCACCAATATAATTACTACAATTATTAAATTTACAAATTGAAATGAAAATTTCATAAATCTCCTAAACCGAAATTAAATCGACACTCAGTAAATCAAAAATTCCGATGACCTCGTGGTTGGAATCGCGGGAATAGAAATTTCCCGTGTCCACTGAGAAAAATAACTTCAAGTAATTTTACTAAATAAAAATAAATGAAATATACATAAATTATTAAAGGAATGATTAATAATTATAATAACGCCAATAAATAAGAATACTAATTATACATAATTATGTAATGATGATTAACTATTATTATTATTGATTATTTAAATATAAATAAATATAAAATGAATGATTGTAATTAATCAATATAATTAATAGTTGTTCGAAGTGAATTTGTTGAAAGTCGATGTAGAAAATGTTTTCTCGATGCAGGAATGAGTCCATGCGACACTTTTCTTCATTCCTTTCCATGGAAAATTGGTGCGGATCGATCGGGGGGAATAGTAGATTCGGAGTTGTGCCAAAATTTGAGGATGTGTTGGTACGAGGATGTGTAAAAAAAACCTTTAATAGAACGGAATCGGCCCCTAACAAACCCTTTGGCCCGGGTCGCGCCTGCGTGCCAAAATTGCCGCAGTCTGCCAAACTTTCGTAATCTCTCCTCCCGCCTATCGAGCGACTCTTTTTTATCCTTTTTTTAAATTAAAGTAAATGTTTACTTTTTATTTATTTATGAAATAGAAAAATTACGCGCATATTTGAGAAATTGCACTGCAATTCTCTTGCCAAGTGAATCAGGATAAGTGTAGTTTTTTTTACGACAGTTTTTAGCCGATTTCTCCAAATTGAAGGAAGATAATGATATTTTCATAATCACCTTTTTTGTAGATCTCCAATTTTTCTATAAAAAATGTTCATAAAGAAAATTCGATGGGATCCTTCAATTCTGAGATATTGGCTAAAAACTGAACTCGAAGAAAAATATACTTATCGCTTAGGTTACCACTTCGCTTCTCAATCAAAAAAACATGAAACTTATACAATTGGCAATTAACGAACAATTAACCTTATTGAAATTCTAGAAATTAATGCAAGTAAAATGATTCATGATTAATTCAGATCATGAATCATTCTGAAAATTACAATTTTCCTCGGGAAAATTAAAATCAAATAATCTATTTTCTCCATTCCTAAATTGCTTCATTCGCCTTTCATTAAATTTTCAGGTTTTTTCTTTTAGTGTAAATTTCTCCAAAAATTCCTGGTCAAAATTACGGAAGTCTGTAAAATTTTCCTGAACATTTCCCTCTGGAATGATCCAGTAGTTTTTTGCGATTTTTTTTTCCCATGTATGGAGAATTCCGTTTGAGTATTGCGAATTCCGTTTGAGT